AAGCACGTTAATAAAATTAAAGAAGCTTAATCGCATATGGTTTTGTGTTGTAAAAGAAATTGATTTATATGCTTTTTATTAAAAAAAGATAACAAAGCTTATAAATTCTTCTAATAAAATAAGTAAGTCAATTTCAACGCTAAAGTCTTTGGAGAATTTGAAGGAAAAAAAAAAAAGAAACGAAATATCTATCTCCATATATACCCTCGATTTGCAAGTAGTGAATACTTTAGGATCTGAAAACATGGAAGAAATTTCCTTCATCCCTATTATTATATAATATCAGATATAGAACTGTTTTTCTTAGAGAAATTTATAGTAAGCATAAAAAAGTCGCCATAGCTTATAAGAACTATCCGTTCAAACTCGATAATGTTCAACCCAATATAATATTCGAAGGAGGTGTTTGCCTAACCCTTAAAGTGCTTTTAAAAAGCATTTTTTTATGAATCAAGACAAACTTCTTTATATATTTATTTCGTATACTATAAAAATATTTTTAAAATTATAGTTTTTTTTTTACCCAAACACTCTCGAAGTCAAATACCACAATAATAATAAGTCTCATCTCATAAAATACAATCAGATATATGAATCACACAGCATCATCAAATTCTATCAACAAACTAAATATTTGGATATTATATGTTAATTAAATAGTCATACAAAAAAAAAATGCTATGCCTACAGATCAGAGAACGTGGGTTGGTATGAATGTTGAAACAGCTAGCAGTAGTCCATGTTAGAGCACTTACGTTACTTTTCTATTGCTTATGCAGAAAGAAAGCTCCCTCCTTTGCACCAAGTCCACAAATTTATCATATATATGAATGAACTTGAATTAGTCCATGCAAGCACGTGTACAGTTTCAGTATAACACGTGAAATCGAAGACTATGAACCAACCTTGATCGTTGATTTTGCAGACTCATCATCATCACCACCGTCTAATCTAGTGGTAAATTTAAATTTCTACCGACAAATTATTATTCTGTTTACATTTAGCAGAAGCAATTCAGTTGATCTGCCTTGTACGTTCAAAACTCAAGGAAAGGGACGTGACTGTGTGAGTCACTGTGAATAGTGAGCTTCTCATTGTGGGATATTGAAAGAACCAAATCCTCTGTGCACCACTCACTACTTTTGTGATAATTATGAGATTTATTATATTATATTTATTTATTTACACTTGCGAGATCGACCCATCTAACTTTGGAAAGATGCATGCATATGTTAGTTATACCAATTCTTGATTTAGTTTTTCTAATATATATTTTTCTCTCCAAACAAGTGGATCGATCATATATCAACACATCAAAAAGAGAGAGAGAAAATGACTCTTAAGTAATTGTGGGTCATGACACTTAAAATTTTAAATTTGTGTAGATAATTATCATTAGCTAGCTAGCACATCATTTTATCAGCAGAATTACGTGATAAATGAGTGACAATGAACTTCACAAATTCTCCCATTTTTTTATTACGTATAAATAATTCTCTCAAACCTTAATTATAGCTTACTACCTCCGGTCCTAATTATAAAAGCTAGTTGACTAATTTGAGGAGATTAAAAATAAGTTAAATTAGTTATTTGTAATAAATAAGTGTTGTCCTTTCTAAAATATCCTTGCCAATTAAGTGTATTGGCTAGAACTACCATTGTTAGAAGGATTACGTTGGAAAAAAAATACATAAATATGAGAGACAAAGTAGATTGAGGGTCTTATATTTAGAACTAAAATAAAAGTCAAACAATGTCTTATATTATGGACCGGAGATAGTATATCATATGTGGATAATCTTGCTCACTTAACCATCTTTTGTTGGCAAAATAACAAACTAACTAACCCTACAAGAGAGTTAATTATATGCATATAACTCAAAATTCTATAACGAAAATTGTGTGAAATATATCTTGAAAAATTACATCGAATTAATCATGGATATATATATATGCATTAGAAATTAGTTAGTTATATATTTACCTATAAGTAAAAGATATATATATATATATATTCCAAAATTGATTGTATCTGAGACTCATTGATTTATTTAAATTTGTCAAAGTTAACCTGCATTGCTTGCACGAAATGATGAGGGGAAAAAAATATGCTTCAGAGTTCAAACTCAACAGTGGGAATCGTATGCTTGGTCACCAATATTTTCCCCGACCGGAAAAAATATTTATAAGTCATATTATTAAACTTTTAATCTGAATATAATATTTTACTTTTTATTTTTCTTGCGTGTATTGTTATATTATTGGAAAATATACTTCTTCCGATTCTTTTTATAAGATCTTTTTAACTAAATAATGTGGTTTAAAAAAATTAAAATTAGTTAAAAATAATAAATATAAAAAAATTGAACCATTTTTCAAGTGTATCCATATCTAATAACAGAGCAAATAAGAGAGAGAAATACTAATAATAAGATAAAGAAACAAAAGAAGAGTAGTATGAGAAAAAGATAATAAGAGAGAATAGAAAATCAATTAAGGACAAAATTGATAAAAATGAGCCTAATGTTTAGACAATCCTAGGTAGGATATTCCGGCAAAAAAAAAATCCTAAGCAGGATATTATAAAAACGACCAAAGCAGTTGAATGTCTAGATTTGGTCAGGATCTTTCTTGTAAAGTTCATCGTTTTGTTGTTTGGATTTGGGCATATCATTTATGTGGGTTGCATATATATTATGTGGTTAGTGGGTCATTGTTTGGGCCGATCCATGGGGCCCAATTCTGAATACCTGGCTCTGGACTCTGGAGGCGTTGGTCATTTTACGTTGCTTTTCGTGGGCGACCTTGGACGTTGGATCCCTCAAGTACACTTTTTTCTTTTAGAACAAAATGACAATTAAGTGCCCCATAAATTCAATGCTAGGTTGTTTGAGCCATGCAAATGAAACGGGGAAAAAAGAGAGAAGGTGTTTAAATAGCTTTATATGAACGCATTATTTTGGTCTTGTTTATAAGATAAAGAGAGGTTTTTTTTTAATTATTTGCAATTCATATCATTAAATTTTTTAACATGAACACCACCTTAGTTTTATTATAAGTTACTTGTAGGAAATTTTTTTATTCTAGATATAAGTAACTTGTAAAGTATGTAATGATCATTTTTTAATTTTAACCTTATTTAATCCTCATTGCAAAGAGAGAAGGAGGGGAAGGGGATGATTTGTAAGCGCAGAGAAAGAAAAAACTTTCATAAATATAATTTTGGATAATTTTATCAACTTAATTGTATTTCTTAGTGTGTGAAAATAAATTGCAAGTAACTTATAATAAAAACCAGAGTGATGTATTATTAGAAAATTATTAAATCTTTAAGTCAAAATTAATAAGATTTAAAATAAAGCATGTTAAAAGTGACTCATAGATAGAATAAAAGGAATAATAATTTCACCATTTTAAACTTGAGGGATGAATTCCTTACAAAACAAACCTCAGCGATTTTGACCGACTTCGCTTTTACCTAAACTAGGGGATCAAAAACTGAGTTTCCCCGTATCTTAATCATTTTTTCCTGATATGTTCCTTACATTAATTATTTGCATGATATTATAATGATAAATTCATTTTAATTAACAATCAATTTTTAATTTGATTTACGTGTTTATTATTTTACACCTTATATGAAAATATCTTCATATGCATGTTTGCTTTTGTATCTATTGGGAAAAAGGACTCTCTCCTATATTTAAACCATATTTTATCTTATACCTTTAGCATACATTTTTGACATTATTTTGTTTTTTTATGTGATAATCAATTTTAAGTTTGATTCCTGTTGTTTTATTGATCCACATACCATTTGACATCTTAACATCTATTGAAAATCTATTTAACACTCACTACTACAAAATATTTAACCTTTAGCATGCATATTTAACATAATTCTCAAGATGTCTTCTTTCTTTTTTTTCAACCTCAAGATGCCATATAAAAGGGGTATTTGGGTAGAAACAAAATCATAGTTTTAAAAGTATCTTTACTGTATACGAAGTAAATATATGGAAGAGTTTGTCTCGATTTTTGAAAAAGTACTTCTGATAAGTGCTTTTGAGATGTACCAAACATCCCAAAGTCTGACCGGTGAAAAAGCAGTATATACATAATCCAATTTTGTAAATTGTGACGCCAGTTTCAATTAAATTTAATTGATTGCCGGTCACAGTAATAAGGTTATTTACTTAATTAAGTGTAATATTAGTTAAATAAAGATTTAATCTATATTATCCAAATAATCTTCAGTTATATGATTTAATTTAATATCTTTAAATTTAAATCATATTTATGAATTAAATTAGAATTTAATCTATTATTCAGTATCGTAAATATATGTTGGGAAAAAAGATATTGTAAATATTTGATAAGATTTAAACGTATTTGGGATCTTATCATATGAGATGGAGTATCTCATTGATTGAGATAGTGGAGAGATTATGATAAATTAATATATCTTAAACGGATAGGATATAAATATTTTGTATTTCCAAGATATCCATCCACATATGCATATAGGCTCCCCCCATTCATTGTGCAACTCATTCCATAACTGTTAGCTCATCTCTCCTCGCTCTCTCTTTTCTCTTCCAAACACGGTAAGTTATTCTCCCTCGCTCTTTATGTCAAGCTAATTTATTAACCTCTTCATACATCTATCTACATGTCTTACTTTTATTCTACTTCCATTTATATAAAATTAAAGTGATTATTCATATCTTTGTATTATAATGAGCATCAGCTGAATGTTTACTATTTTAGCTATCAAGGTTCCAGTAATTTAATTACCTCGTAATTGTGAATGTTGGTATTATAACAAATTTTAATAACATCTTTTGATATTTCAGTTCACGTTCTGAAATGAGATCTTAATGAATATTTAGATAAATACTAGTAAAATGCAATTTCTTGTTGTTTATGATTGTTTCAGCACTTGCACTTTGTTCTTGTAGCCGGCAATAAACAACTCAAACAAATTAAATTAAGGATAAATGGCAACATCAACTAGAAAGGTCACCTTTGATGAATTTTTTCGAGCTCTTTTCAATGAAAAAGGAGAACAATGGACTCCCACAGATCTACGAGATGATCATGATAGAAAAGAAGCACTGAAGCAGAAAATGGACAAATTCATAAATGAACTTGAAAGCTCTCAATTTTATCATGATTTTCGAGACGAGGTACAAGGTTCTCATATTTCTGAACACATTCGCTGGTTTTTGGTGTCAGAGTCAAAGATGCGAATAGTAATTTATGGTATAGGTAGCATTGAATCAGATGAGAAACACTCACCTACATTACAACTTGGTCTTGCATTATTAATGAAAAAAGATTTTGGTTGGATTGAGGGGATAGAATTATTTGATCCTATCCTTTCAAAAACTGAAATCCAAGTTTTGGAATCTCTTGGTTGTTCTGTCTCATATCTCAACGAATATGGAAGGAGGAAAGTCCTAAAACCAACAATGTTCTTCATGCCACATTGTGATATAAGGCTATACAACAACCTTCTGGAAGAAAATTGGAAACCGGAGCTATTAAGCAATATTATCATATTTGGTAACAGCTTTGATTCTTATATCAAGCATCCTCCAGATGTTTCAAAGATCTTCCATACAAATGATCCAAGAATAAGAAAATTAGGTATTTGGGCACTGATGGGAAATATTTTAGCTTCTCAAACATTTACAAGTGAGTTTAAAATGAGGACAATTTCTTATGATCGTCATAAAATTGGTCAAGATGCAAGTTTCCAGCGAGACTGTGATATTTCCTTTTTCAATTTAAGTTGGCATTTTTTTAGCTCTCTCACAAGGAGAAGGATGCGATTAGTGAGAGAGAATACTAGAAACGAATATGGTGCATCTGTGGGACTGAGATCGAGAATTGTAGTACGTCAGAAAAAAGAAAATGTGGCTACCAGCAACACGTCTCTAGAGGAGTAATGTTTTCGTCCTCATCAGAAATGAAAGCAAGAATCTTGGTTGTCTTCTTATTATAATAATACTCCACTGGCCATCGTTTTACTTTCTTGTGTTTTTTTTTCTTCACCAATTTGAAACCCTAATCCCTTCCAATGAAATGGTTAAGTCTAGAAATCCCAAATCCTGTGATCTATCATCGGCCATTATTCCTTATTCCTGAGAATAAAGTTGAGGGTAATATTTTTAGTGCATCAATGGAGCTTTAATTTTTGTTTAATTGCATGGCATCTCTGGGGCAACTTTTACGTGTTAGCTTCTTTCTTTCTACCTTGAAAGGTATAAGTGAATCTCAATTGGATTTTATCCAAATGTGCTTCAGCGATGCATATTCCCAGCACTAAAGAATATCCCTAGCAAACTTTGGAACCTAGTCACACATCAACTTATCAATATTTCAAAAGCAACTTATCAAAATCTGAACATGATTTGTTAAAGTTGGAACCCTAAAGTGGGGAGGATGTCATATAAGGCCCAAAATTTTTTGAAACATTTATTTGAAATTAAATGGTGCGGTTTAAGTAATAAAATGCCTTTCATTTAATTTTTTTTATAAGCCCTTTCATTTAATTTTAAAAGACAAAAACAAAAACCACATCAATACATAAATATCATTGTTCAGTATATATCATTATTCTTGTCCTTGAAGATAAAGATCACAGTAATTAATATATCATTTAATCAATTTTCTAAGTATCATCTGTAGTCATCTTGACAACTACCTTGGAACTTGATATGATTCACATAGTGGTTACGGTCTTCATGGCTTCAAGCCTTGGTTCTTTGGCCTGAAATTAGTTTAGTAACTCTTATTTTTAAAAATCAGAAGAATTGATACAAAATGCACAAGCAATTGCTTATACATTATACCAGGTCTTTTTTTTTTTTTGCCACGTATAAATATTTTCGGATTGGAAGTAATCATATTAAAGGCATTGCTAAAAAAAAAAAGAAAGTGAATATCAATTGAATTTTATCCAAACGTGGTTCGGAGATATATATTCCCAGCAGTAGAGAACAAATATCCCAGGTAAACTTTGGAACCTTCTCACATATCAACTTATCATCAATATTCCAAAACCAATTTGTCAAAATCCGAATTATGATTTGTTGAAATTGGAACCCAAAACAGGGAAGTTGTCATCACAAGGGCTCTTAAAGCAAGAAAATGTCATTTAAGGCCCGTACAATTTTTGAAACATCACTATAAATCCTAGAGCCTTGATCATTTATTTGAAATTAAATTTTGTGGTTTGTGGACTAAAATGCCTTTCATTTAATTTTAAAAGGAAAAAAAGAAACAAAAGCCACATCAATATATAAATATCATTGTTCATTATATCATTATTTTTGTCCTCGATGATAAAGTTCATGCATATCTACCGTTCATTCATTCTCTCTCTCTAGAAGCCAGATTTCTACTCTTCATCTCCACTCGCAGAACACACAAGCATCTATTTGGAGGAAGTAATGATTGGACAAGGTTTAGAACCCTTATCATGGTCTAGATATCCTTCCTGTTCAATCACCTTCTCTCTCCTTCCCTCTCTCTGCAGCTTGAAAATGAATGGAGGCAGCGCGCTTAAGAGGATTAATTAATGAATACAGAATACCTGCACTCTGAAAAAAAAAAAATCAGTTCAAAAGAATAATCATTGTAAGAATTACTTGGGAAAAAATTATATATTGTAACGTCATAATGTCTATTACGACGTCAGTTACGTTTTAAAAGGAAGAGAAAATATATTAAATTTATTACCCCTTTGATTTGTCAAGTAACATATGGGAAATCATGTAGTTAAATGCGTGTGTATTTTGCATTAGAGAGACTTCTTGATCAATAATTAAACATAACTTAATTTGCTAAATATCATCAGTAGTCATCTTAGCGATTTGACTTAGAACTTGATATTGTTCACATGGTGGCTGCGGTCTTTACTCCAAACTTCGGCTCTTTACCCAGAAATTAATTAAGCAGCCCTTTTCCCTTTTTTAACCAGCTGACTCCTTATTGTCTTATAGCATGTCTAAAAATAATTAAGCAGCCCTTTCCTTTTTTATTAACCAGCTGTTTGGCCCAGAATTCTAGTGGGCCTGAACCCAAGAGGAGGGTAAGTACAACGATCCACTAAATTTAGCAGAGTAGTAGCTAAGGGTGTCCGGATCTGAACTGAATTGATGGAGCCCAACAGAATCTTTAGGCACTGTTTGGAACGAAACATTGAAATAAAAGATATGGATTAGAATTGAGATTAAAAAATAATATTTAACATGAAAAATTACTTATTATATAGGATTAGATAAACCTATATATGTGGGATTAGGAAATACTATGGAAAAAAGAGGTATTCCCCAATCCTGTTTCCATAAATTTGTCTAATATCATATAACAAGTAATTACTCATGCTAAAAAAAATTTTAATAATTTTTTTAAAATTGTAATCCTAGTTTATATCTCTCATTTTTAATATTTCGGACCAAACGGACTTTAAATATTAGTTGATATATATTTTGGAAAAAAAAAAGGATAATTTGATCGTACCGTAGTAATCAATTTAACATCAGACTCATCTTTACTTTGCTGTAATTTTTTTGGGGATGCGGATGACTTTTTAGTATTATTAATTGCATCACATGAGTGGTGCATGGAATTAAGGAAAGGATATGATGATTCATGAATTAAGGAAAGGCAGTGTACTAAGAAACCAATCAAACCCAACCTCGTGCTAAGTCATTGGTTGGAGCCTGGTCCTAAACCAATCCTAATCCTAACTATCAAAGTAGATATGGTGGCCTAGAGAGAGAACATTCAATACTTCTGTTGGGGCGGCAAACTTCGAATTAAACATGCACCGCTGCATTGTTGGTCCAAACCAATTAAAATTATGTAAATTTAATTGAATATCAATCGAGTATATAAAAAACGCATGTTGCGGTATGAGTTCATTATTCACGTCCTTCTTAGGGTGTTTGGATGGCTTAATAATCCCTCTCAAAAAGAATTTTTTCTTAAATCAAGACAAATTTCTCTATATATTTATTTCGTATATTGTAAAAACACTTTTAAAATACTATTTCCGATTTTTAATATAAGACCCTGTTTGACTTTTATTTTGATCCTAAATATAAGACCCCAATCCACTTTGTATCTCATATTTATACATTTTTTTTCAAGGTAACCCTTCTAATAATAAGAATTCTAATCAATACACTTGATTAGTAAGGATATTTTAGGAAAGACAACACCTATTTAGAACAAATAACTAACTCAACTTACTTCCTTAATTTCTTCAAATTAGTCAACTGGGTCTTATGATTTTGTTTCTATCCAAATATCTTTTTAATTGGACTCTTCTTATTAAGTTTGGTTGACCTAAATCTGCGAGGGAGAGTTTGTAGCATATTTTCTAACCCAATATTCCCTTCAAAACCATCTGCCCTTCTTCACCAAAACTCGCCCCAGTTTTTGACTCTTTCCGACATCTCACTGTTACTTTTTTGAATTCTCATCTTTAACCCTTTAGCTAAATTTAATTCACGAGATTTTAATTTTGTCACACCTATGATTCAATAATCATTTACAAAATATTTTAAGTCAAAATGTCTGCCTCCTTGTCTGATGCCTAAAATAAAGATAATCATCAATTGTCCCTATGTGTAATATCGTGTTTATAATTCTCTAAAACCCTTCAATTTTTTTTCAAATTACCGCGTAAATAAGTTTGTCTTTTATCGTGGAATTGCCCCCAGCTAACACGTCAGAAATCAAAAGGAGACGATACATTTTCAGATGATGAGACTCATAAATTGAATTTTCTTTTTTCGCCATCGGGGAAAACAAAATTAGAATATATATGTAAAAATCGTCACAACAAAATTCATACTATGTGGTCGTATTACAGTGTGAGGTATCGAGTTGGTGGCGGAAAAACAAGAAGAACAAACTTCCCATCAGGCGATGGAAAATGGTGTCCTCACGGAATCCCAAACGGAAAAGAAAGGAAAATAGATGGTGAGGAATTTCAGAAGATGTCGAGAATCTCGAGGATCGAACGGTTACAGAGGGGACAGGTCCCTCGGTTGAGCCACAGCTCTCTGGAGCACACTCTGCAAAAAGTATGCCCACATGGGATAAATGCCGCTCCTTTCTTCCTTCCCATGCACACGCAGCACACCGTATCATTCCCCGCTCCTCCGTTCTCCGTCACCGTCACCGTCATGTCCACGTCGCCTCCCTCACCCTCCTCTAGCAGCCTCATCAGCGACACCCTCCACGGCGTCCCCGGCGCCGCACCCACTCCTTCCCGCCGGAAATTGTCTCCGGTGGTTCCTTGCCTCCCAGTTTCTGGTTCTTGCGTCCCCCGAAATTGACGCTCCGCCGCCAATGCCGCCGCAAGATTCATGCCCGAACCCGCTGGGTTGGGGCTCAAACAATCCGGGTCTGATGAGCTCGATCCTTGACCAGGATTCGGTTCTTGAAGCCTTTGCCGCTGCTGCCGCCGTTCGTCGTCGTCTTCTTCTTCCTCCTCCTCCTCTCCTTCGCGCCTAACGGAGGCCGGACGAAAACCCCAGGTGGCCCCACAACACCCCATACCGGTGAATCTTAGCCGTTCTTTTAAACTCCGTCTCCTTCGAGGCTCTCTATCACTATGATCATCCCCGTTCGCAGATTCCATCTGCTCCGTTAACAAACCCAGAATCGTTCTTTCCTCTCGGTCTCTCTGAAGCGATTCCCGCAACATTAGCCCAAGTTGACTCATCGCGGCGCCTGCTTAGAGGAGCTAAAAGACGCAGAAGCAGGAACAATTACAGCAAGAATAACAAGTATGAGCGATAGATTGAGGGGGACATGGAAGAAGATGAGATAAAAGAATGAGGCAATTTAAGAGTAGAGAGAAGAAGCCGTGAGGATTGTGAAGAACATTTAAAACGCAACGTCACTTCAGGAGGAGGTGGGGAAAATGACAGAAACGAACCGAGAAGAAGATGGGGCCAAAGAAGAAAGCCGCATCAGAGAGGTTGGGGGTTTAATTAATGCTCCTGGGGCTGGAGGGGGGCACAAGAAATGAACCTCCGTCGATATCGAAATTGGAAGCAAGAAAATTAGGGAAAAGTGGAAGAAAGGACAAAATAGAAGGGCGAGGGGACGGAATGAGCACAGGAGGAGGAAGGAAACGGGGTTTCTTACTTCCTTCACAGAGTAATATCCTTCTTTATATACTCTCTCGACTTTTGAGTCACAAAAACTCGATTTTCTTTTCTTTTATTTTTGCACTTTGCAGGGAAAGAGTAACGCCAGCACGAGCTTCTTGAATCTCTTGTCCTTCGACGCGGCGCCCATATTTATTACTGTCTTTAATTGACTTTGAGGACTACGCATATTGTTTTAAAATAAATAAACGTAATCAAATTTGCATGCAAATGCACCGCAACATAACAAGTCTGAGGGCAAAGTCACAAGAAAAATAATACAAACCCGTGTAAGTTAAAGAGTAATTATAAAAAGGTAGTTAAAACCGGATCCTTGAATCAGTTATAGTGGTGAAGGGTCATTAGTCCAAATGTAATTAAATTGGCGCAGAGAAAAAATATTAGTTAAGGAATTTGTTTTTACTACTCTATTTGAATTTTAGAATTCTGGTTATAAATATATTGCAAATTTGCTATTTTTATAAGCTTTATTTCTTATATAATTATTCTCTCTAACTTTTAAAATTTTACAATGAACATGTAAACTTTTACATTTGTATAGATAACCCTGAACTATTAAACTTATACCATCTTAAACTTGATTTTCATATACATATAACTTATTAATTTTTTTATTTGCTAATAAACAATCAGAAAAATTAAATAGTTCTGTTGTCCGCGTAAACGTGGAAAACTATGGAGGTTTACAAAATTTAGGACAAATTATTTACAAATAACATGAATTGCAGGGGAATTTTGTGCAATCTAATCCTATTTTTTGTATTATAAATATAATATCAGTATTTCCAGTGTGAATAAAAATAAATTGAATACAATTTAAAATATTTCAACAGAGAGAGTGAAACGGAATGAAAATAGTATTCAAAGATAAAATAGAAAATATGATTGTTATTCTGATTTATTTGGAATAAAGCGTCGAGAAAACGACACAAAAATGACACTTGAATTTGGAAATACCAAAATGGTCACTTCAATTTGCAAAATCCTAATTTATTCATAAGTGACCAATTTGACATTTGTAAATTTATTGAAATGACTACATTACCTTTTATTTTATTTATTGTTTTTTAAAAAAACCAAATGCCCTATTGACTTGCCAGTCGCCGGAGCTCAGGTGGCTGCTGTCACCGGAGCTCCGGTAGCTGATGCCAATCGGTCGCCTGAGCTTCGGCGGCTAGCAACAATTTTTTTGAAATTTTTTACAATTTTAGTAAAACGGTTAGCAAGTTTTGTAATGCTATTAACAAATTTAGTATAGCAGTTAATAACAGGTTTTTTAGAAAATTCAAAAAGTAGCATTTTTACAACTTCATTAACGCCATTAACAAGTTCCATAACTCTATTAACAACTGCGATATAATATTTAACAACAGGTTTTTTAAAAAATTAAAAAAAAGCATTTTTACAACTTTAGTAACTACTTTTTTTGGAAAATTTTTATCATTTCAGTAAAACAGTTAACAAGTTTTGTAATGTTATTAACAAGTTCAGTATAGCAGTTAACAATAGGTTTTTCAAAAAATTCAAAAAGTAGTATTTTTACAATTTCAGTAATGCCATTAACAAATTTGGTATAGCATTTAATAACAAATTTTTTTAAAAAATTCAAAAAGTGGCTTTTTACAACTTTAGTAATACGGTTAACAAGTCATGTAACGACATTAACAATTCTTATTACCATAATGGCTGCCTAATAAGTGAAAAAATTTTGTTGTACAACTTTCATAGGGAGCTAATATAAAAAACATCAATCTTTATAAGAGCTGTTAATATCATTACATGACTTATTAATCGTGTTACCGAAGTTGTAAAAATGTCACTTTTTGAATTTTTCAGAAAACCTGTTGTTAAATGCTATACAGAACGTGTTAATAGAGTTACAAAACTTGTTAAAGATATTACTGAAGTTCTAAAAATGCTACTTTTTAAATTTCCTGAAAAACTTGTTGTTAACTGTTATACTGAACTTGTTAATAGTGTTACAAAACTTGTTAACCGTTTTACTGAAATTGTAAAAATTTTCAAAAAAAAAAGTAATTACTAAAGTTATAAAAATACCTTTTTTTTGAATTTTCTAAAAAACATGTTGTTAAATGTTATACTGAACTTATTAATAGTATTACAAAACTTATTAACCTTTTATTAAAATTGTAAAATTTCTTAAAAAAAGTAGTTACTAAAGTTGTAGAAATACCTTTTTTTATTTTTTCAAAAAATTTGTTGTTAAATGCTATACCAAATTTATTAATAGAGTTATGAAACTTGTTAACAAGATTACTGAAGTTGTAAAAATGCTGTTTTTTGGATTTTTTTAAAAATTTGTTGTCAACTGTTATACTAAACTTGTTGATAGCGTTATAAAGCTTGTTAACTGTTTTACTGAAATTGTAAAAAGATTTAAAAAATTTATTGCCAGCCACTTCAGCTCCTGCGGCCACTGCGGGCACCGGAGCTTTGACGACTGATCAGCCAGTGGAAGTATTTCCTTTTTTAAAATATAATAAATAAAATAAAAAGTAATATGATCATTTCAATAAATTTACAAATATCAAATTGGTCACTTATAACTAAATTAAGATTTTACAAATTCAAGTAACTATTTTAACATTTTTAAATTTAAGTGTCATATTTGTATCATTTTTCCTCAAGCGTCAGGCGTGGTTGCAGGCTAGCTCATACGGCGAATGGGGGCCGGTCTGAGGGAGGGAAAGTCAAAAAGCCGCTGGAGCCGGCATGGGGACCGAGTTGTTCAGGCCACGTGGCGCTATCCCTTCTACAAATTGCTTCTTCTCCGCACGCTTCTCCCTCCTTTATTTGCATCCTAATCCACATTATAATACATAAATCCCTTTCACTTAAAATCAATTAATTTGCTCCTCTTCTTCATGCACTGCATAATCTATTTGTCCCCTTAATAATCCTTTAAATTACAGGAAAAAAAATAATAACCCTTTATGTCACATCTCATGTTTGTCTTCCCATATTTATTTTTTCTTTTAATGCCACATACATACCATGCTCTCCCAATCTTCAATATCTCTCAATTAATAACATATAGGATAAATTACTATATTTATATTTGTCAATTCTGTCTATTTGTAATTATATATCTCACCAAATTAAATTATTCACCCCATTTGTAGTGTCTCTTTCCTGCTCCTACAACACAATCAAGACTTCAATATAAAATTTAGTTTTCCTGTTATTGTGTCAATTCCACACACACACACATATTCAATGATTCATATCACTTTCATGCATTTTTTTGGGGATACAGATCAGTTTCATGCATGGATAATAAAAATAGATATTAATTGTTGACTAAGGCCTTCTATTATGGATCGGAAGGCAAGGAAATCTTCCACTTAATTTTCTCTATTTTAAAGGTTCGACATAAATTTGAGACATTGCCCCAAGCCTCCAAGCTCATTAAATTTATTCTCTGGTGACCCCATCATTTATTTTTTGGTCGAAAGACCCAATCATTAATTAGCGTGTGTCATTTTTTTAATTAGCAAACTGATTCAATTATTATTATTAATACATTAATTCAGCAGTACTTGATAAGTTTATTTTGTCAAACAGACAAAAGCAGTAGGTACTCTTTCACCCAAAAAAAAACAGTAGTAACTAGTAAATCTATTTAGGTTATCGTTTTTATAAAGTCGAAAAGTATTGGAGAGATAATGGGTTAAATAATGCGTGTATTGTAAAATCCAAAGCTAATTTGTTCTTCAAATAAGTATCACATGCGAAGTCCAGAAGGGAAGCATTATTATATTTTTTTTAAAAAAACCAAGGGTTATCGCCCAATTATATATAGTTAGGAATAAAAATGCACCTAATTAACCTAATCAACCTAGATCAGGTATGAAAATGCTAGCTAGCCTCCCACGCATACTTCTAATTAGTTGTACCTACATATATATAACCCTATCCCCCACACATAATATATAAATATATATATATATGTATGTATTGCCTAGAGACCCACCTGATCACATCTTCCTTCTCAATTTTTATATGTCTTAGACTTTCCTTCAGCTAGAGCCTAGAATTAATAACTAGTATCGTTATCTTTCTTTAATGAGCATCATGCGTAATAATCTTCCTTGATTAGTTGTATTCTGGGGAGAAAACTTGGCGTCGATGACTTGATTTTGTTGAATTAATTCGGGTCGACTCATTGTTTTGGTTTGGAAAAAAAAGACAAGATTCTAGTGGTTCGTTCAATCTGATCTCTAACCATTAGCATACATAATGTTAATAGAAAAAACATAATTATTATTTGGGTGCATGCCACTATTTAGTTTTATTTAACAAAAAAAAAATCAAATATACTCCCTCCATTTCTTAATATAATAATTACTTATTAACTAATTTAAGTAAATTAAGAAAGTCGAATAAATTAATTCATTACATAATTTTTTTTAAATGCTTATCATAATATTATATTACACATCAGTTTATAAAATGACTGAGATCTTGAATACAAAATTAAATTCAACTTCTAGCTAACTCTTATTTTAAAAAACTAGAGAGAGTATTTCATATAGTTTAATTTCATTAGCCGGTTTATTTTTACTCCATATCAAAAAAAGCCTTAATAAATCATGATCATCACTTTCTTTCAAAAAGAAAAACTCCTTTTCTTTTCATAGAGAAACATTCTTATTAACAAAATTCCTGTGAGATGTATCGAAGATAGAAAACATCCTTTATTAGACCAAATAAGTGAATACAATAGGACAATCCGTTGCTATTACAATTTGCAGTAAGAAAATAAATTGAGGAATAATAGGCAAGAAATATAGGACGAAACAAAAGGCAGAAGGAGACTGTAATTTGGTGAGATGGGGCACACCCTATACAGTGCACACCATTCTTTTTCCTGTCCTTGCTGAGTTCCGACCTAAATCGAAGCGAAGGCAGCCATGTTAGGGTCATGATGATCAAAATCATCCTACCGTGATTAAAGCTATAATTGATGATTTTGGGTCTTCTTTTATTTAAGAAATTTTGTGTTTTTATAGGGATTGAAATAATTAATTGAATAATTAAAATTTTGAATTTGTCGATTGGTAATTGGAGGAGCATGATGGTGAATTATTATTTCATGAGCAGTGCAGGCTTTTTGGATCAATCATTAGAATTAGTTGGTCAATGGGATCCAGCCCATCCATAACGTGCCTCCTCTTATTTTATTTTATTCCTTTTTGAACTCTAATCTTGCTACTTAGTCTAGTCTCCTGCGTAGTTGTGTGGTCCCCTTTAAAATCAAGGAAAAATCTCAAAAAAATAATTGTTAAATTTTAAAATTTCAAATCAGTATTGGTTACTACACTTGTAAAGAAAATTATTACACTTAAAAAACAAATAACAACAAATTTTTGGAGTAATTCCTGATTTGTTACTTTAAAATTCAACAGTAATTTTTTAAAGGATCTTCCGTGAAATCAAATCCTCTAAATATAAAATAAAAAAAACTTGTTATGGTATATATTTATTTATATATATTATACTACGTGAGAGACGATGCTGCTTATTAAGTTACGAGGTTGTGAGCCAACAAAGCTGCTTTTTTAAGATGCTGTGTGGAGCAGAATTTGATTGTGTAATGATTTAGATTTTACCTCATTTGTTTTTCAATTTTATTTTAATATTTTATTATTTGAAAGAATTCCGTAAATTATTCATTTTTAAAAGAGAAAAGTGATGGCAAACTTGATTTCAAAGGACTTCATTTCAAAAGACAGAAATGCAGACTTCTCACAAAAGCCGCAATTGGAAAGTTGAAAATAAGAGAATTTGCTCATAAACTGGTTTTCTTTTAACTTACAAGTGTTTTTTCACCTTAACATTCAGCAATTCAGAAGGCAGCTGTATTTGCAGTTGGCAGGAACTTATAGCCCAACGACAAAAACTACTTTTCTTAAATTTTTTTAAACGTGAAATTGTGAATAATTTAAATTTTCTAATAGGTGTATATATACGAGTTATGATTAAAAAAAAAAAGAACACTATCTGTAAGTAAAGTTATATCTCCGTGGATTCTGAAAGCCAATCATAGGATGAAGGCATGGCATATATTTTACGTGGCTTATGCAAGATTTCACTTATGGCAACGCTGAGAATTAATGACAGCCAATGACCTGTGACTTAATAGCATAATTGGCTTTTTTTTTTTAAATATAAGTTTGGTTTCACTTATAATCAGGCAATTATTGCACATTTCTCTAGTAAAAAAAATATAATTAATGGCATGAAAAAAAAAATCCAGATAACACAATCATGAAGCTTCAATAATTCATTTGCCTATATAATACGCATATGTCATGAGTCTTACATTGGGGAACCTTTTGTGAGGCCCTTTTCGTGAATATCAAGCTTTTAATGAAAACACCAATATGATAAGCAAGAGTTTAAAAGAAGAGTTTGATTTTAAAAGACTAACCTGTTAAGAAGGAGAGCTTCTTAACATATAAAATCCATAATACTTATAAGACTTCCCAATATGTGATTCGTAACAGCATTACACATAAAAGCCATCACTGATCAGCTGCATATGCGTGAAAAAATGGCTGCCTCCATGTTTTCTCAGCTAATTAAATTGCGTTAAATTGATATAATAATGGAAATAGAAACGCTGGTCAATTTGAGTATTATACTGGATCCAACCTTATCCACGTAATACCTAAAACAAATAAATTCCAAAATTTAAGAACCATGCGGATTTTTTTTTTTTTAATTCTTAGACCGACTTTTTAGAGATTGATTCTAAATAATCGTGCAATTCATGTTATTGTTCCTCCAATGCTCAACCTCATCAGGATATTATTTTATGGTCTTGTCCGTGTGTTTGGATTAGTATATATAGAATCTGCTTGAGTTTTGTTGGTAAGAAAAGAGAAGCTTCAATTTCTATGTTGGACTTTAATATTGAGTCAGCCCTTGATGGGCCAGCCAAGCCCAAGACCAATGGGTTCATAAATGCTCGGCTAACTTATTGGGTTACCTTTTTTGGAAAACAAAACTTATTAATAGATCAATTAGGACCTGTTTGTTTTTGTTCTTTGTTTTCTTATTCTCAAAACAATTTTATAAAATTGTTTCTTAGAACAAGTTTTGAAAACAAAAAACAAAAGAATTTGTTTGGATAATAATTTTAAAAAATCATGCTTGAAAAAAAATCATAGAAAATTATACTTGATAGGTGATAGTTGTCCCTGATAATGATAAGTAGTGGATAGTAGGTGAGAAGAGAAGAAGAATTCTTAAAATTTTTCAAAACAAAAAATAAAAAATACAAAAACAAAGACAAGAAAACATGTAAAAGTTGTTTTGGTTTTCTGGTTTTTAAAAACATATTACTGTTTTTTGTTTTTTTTAAAAAATTAAATAAAAACAAATCACCAAACAAGTTTTTTTGTTTTCTTGTTTTTAAAAACAAAAAATTGTTTTCAAAACAAAACAAACAAACAAGCACTTGATTTCTTGGGGGTGTTTTTCGGCCCCTCGCGGTCTGGCTACTGCTATGAAGATGATAATTATCGCGTCAGGAATACGCCCCACTAAATTGGGACCCAATATGTTCTAAATATCTAATAAAAACAAAACTGATTGTATAATTGGAATCTACAAATATTGTTTCCTTTTTAACTTTTATTGAGTGCATGTCTCCTTTTTAATGGATTTTAGAATTCAATTATGTCAAGCGTCAAATAATAACAAAAAAAAATCTTTTTCATTTGTCAGAATTTTCGAGAGGCATCCAACAATAAGAATACGTGGTTTAACATACCAAAAAAGGCTTCCTCACACACAAACAAACCTCTTCATACTGAGCAAAAAAGCACAAATTAACACACTCTTCTATTTAAAATTTGCACTAAATGCTGCTCGATTGTTGATTTTTTGGCCGCTTAAATCTTTTGACGACTCGACCAGTCGCATTAATCGCCTTCATCGCCTTCTTACATACCTTATGGATCAAGATTGGAATCTTGCTATAAAGTGGGAACTCAATCAATCCAAATATGGTGACAGGAAAGAACGCGGCACTGTACACCAAAGTCGAAGTCCATTTCTTCCACAGCAACTTAATTGTGAGCAAAATAGTTGCAGAAAACGCAAGCATGGTGGAGGTCAAAGCCAAGAACAGGAAAGTAAACCCTGTATTCAGTTTACGGGGGAGAGACTTGTGGAAATTCCAGAGCTCAAATGGTGATGTGATGATGGAAAGAAACATGACCACAGAAGCCAAAGAGAAGGCAAGTGCCACAACGTCCATGACAGTGAAGAAGATGAAAATCGGTGAACTGAGAAGCACCGGCGTGCCAGCCTCACTCCCTCCCGGAATCGTGTAGGCCGCCGCAAAGACCACCGTCGCCACAAGAACGGCCACGGTGGAGCAAGACTCGGCTGTTTGCTTTATCCATTGTCGGGCTTGTTCAAGCATGTCATGGTGCTCCATCTCCAGAACATCTTTCGCTGTTAGTAACTGATTGTCAGAATGCAAATGTAGATGACTGGGAACAACCTTTTCCACTCGCTGCACATCCACAGAAACACAAAACAAAATCTTGGTTGCCATCAAGCCCGGGGGGGAATCTTGGTTGCCTTGAATACTACTAAATAGAATTATTGAAACCTTAAGATACATACTCTGTACCACTTGAGTTCATCTTGTAGTTTGAATGCTGCACCAGGTTGGGATGATCCTCTGTAATAGTTCATTCGGGCAACTTCGTGCAACGCGGTGCAATTTGCAACAGATATTCGATAGCCAAGGGAAGAAAATAATGGATTTTTCCTGAGCAGTTTGAAGATTTTCAATTGACGGTGCCTAACGGCTATTTGTAGTATATTATGGCCTTCTTTACCCATGTAATTTATAGACATTGGATGCTCTTTAAGGAACAACTCCACGATCTCTTCAATCCCAGTGCTGGCTGCTACGAACAATGGTGTTCTATAATGTTGAGGTTTGCTCTGATCATCTTCTTTCTGTTCCTTCCTTTCCAGTTGTTGTTTCCTTTTTTCGACGTTGTAAAGAACAGGTGGCAGTTGGACCTGTAAATCATCAGTTGGACGACTACTAGACGAGATCTGCCACGAGAAGTCATGCTTCACCAGAAACTCCGCCAAACTCTTCGCTAACTGATGCTTCCTCTTATCTTTCCAGAGAGATTCAATCCTCCTGAATACTGCTAATTATTCGTGTTAGTATATATACTCAAAACAAGTGCGTGCGCGTGCGCGTTTTGATTTTCAGAAAAACATCATGATGGCACCTTCAGCTAGACTACTTCAGACAGCAAAGTTGATTCTTGAAAGATAACTTGCTGCAAGTAAGAGATATATATATATCTGCTTAGACGACAACGATAGATCAAGACATATTATAAAATTTGAGCAAATATTTTTGAAACAGAGATCAGATTACCAAAAGTTGGCGGCTTGGAACTCTCACGTGGACCAGTTTCTATGTCTGTGCGATGCCCAGTCCACTCAGAGCTATCGGGACCTTCGATTAATTGGTATCTTTCATCGGGAAGCACTATATATCCACGTACAAGTTATATACATTTTTATATATGTATGTATGTACACCCCATTTCAAGAGTTGTGAGAGTTGATGGAGTTATGCAGTTAAAAAAGAAAATTATTTATGCTGCGTGTAGAGAGAGAGAGAGAGAGAGAGAGAGTACGTACAATTATAGATGAGGTTAATGAAGAATCCCATATGGTAGTTGCTCCGGAAAGCCTCGGGCAGGAGAGCAAGTAGCTGAAGACTAGTAAGGTTCGCGTCATTCCGTGCCAGCGCTAGCTTTGTCCCATTCATTTTACTTATTATCCAAAGAGCTGCATCTGCACTCATCATATCATCAAGAATATAATCAAACTTGTCTCAGAGTTGCAGGACAAGAAAAATATATATATATATATATATATATAGTATATATATAGTGTAGTAAGCGATCTATGAATTGAATTACAAACCAAAATGTTGGGCATTAATGCTAGCATGCAGAATGGTCTCAGTATTGCTGTATTGGTGAATTTTCAAAGCGTCACCCTCGGACTGAGCTGCTTCTGCAAAATGCTCCTTATGGAACACATGGTGGAGCATCTTGAGGTTGCCGAACGCAGCAGCCCTGAACAGTGGCGTTTCACCTCTTCTGTTTTTCCTCTCCAGTAATTTCGGCCCTCTCCTTTTGTTTTCCTCCTCCGGCAGTGCCGCCGCCGCCTCCTTTTCGTAGTCGAGTATAAAATCTATTATCTCCATGTACACTCTTCTTCGTGCGGCGATACTGTGAAGAATAGTGTTGCCTCCACGACTGGGCTTGGTCAATGCGAGCCACCTTTCTTCTTCGGATAGCATCTCCAGCAAATCCTTAAAGAGATTACGATCACGGCTGCGAATTGCGATGCTGAGAGCGTGGTTCCCAACCAAGTCAAAATTGTTGAGCAGTTCTTTCTTGTCTCCCTCAAAGATTTGCTTGAAGGCTTTCCAATCTCTAACGCAGTAAGCTTTTTGAGCTCTTCTCATTTTCTCGCTGAACATACTCCCTCCCTCTATCTCAATTTCATTACTCCTCCTCTGTCCCATTTTCCTGGATCTCTCTTTTGCTCACGGCCCCTGCTAGCGCTTATCCCCATGGGTCTATATATACACACTGTGCGACGGGTTTCTTGCAGCCTTATTTCTTCTCCTTCCTCCACTAATGTATTTTTTTAAAAGAGAAAAATATATGACTATCCAATACTAGCTAATGAGTAGCGGCTTCCTTTCTTCTTTTTCTTTTTCCTTTGTGTATTTTCCTAAGTATAAAACTACTCATTGTTTACTGTTGAGTACGATATAAGCAACGTCGATCTAATTGAACTTTCTTAAAGTCGTTATATTTTAGTATTTACACGGACTGGAATATGTGGCCTTTAAATTCTCTTATTCTCATGACCCCTTGCATATCTAAGTTTTATTATTAATCAATAATTTTTGTGTTTATTTCTGTATGCGATAAATAAATAGCAACAATTTTCTAAAATTTAGAATCAGCATAATGAAAAACTGGGTGTTTCATGCTTATAATTCCTTTGATGGAAAAAATAATAGCTGCCATTTATAGTGGATTATAAATTACTTTTTCTATTTTAACTATATCTTCGTAATAGTCTAACTTTTGAGCTTATATATAGTTCAATTCAATTTTGGATTTTATATTATACTCCTCATGTCCTAAATATAAGACTCATTTTGTAGTGTAATTTACACTACAAAATGAGTCTTATATTTAGGATAGGAGGAGCACTATTTGTGTTAAAATACAAGTGCCCCCGCACCTGAAACTACCGAAGCTAATTTCTTGGGGCACAGAGATTTAAGTAAAATACTAAAAATGGCACCCGCCCCTAACGTGAGTGATTTATAAAGTTTTGTGATAGTATTATACTTTAAATTTAGCTAATCCAAATTAAATCCAGCTGAGATATGAGATGCCAAAATCTAAATTTAAGCTTATACGTTTAATGATTTCCTAATCATGATAAGAGGTCTAATTAGGAAATTATGAATGTTGTATTGTTGTTAGAAGACCATAATGCACTTCTGTAATTACAAAGGAAAATTGAAGATAATTTTAGACCTGATTTTATTTTTGGTTATTTCAGTTAGATTTAATTAAAATTTAATTGCAAGTTCCTAGAGTCTTAAATAAAGCTCTCTCTTCTGGTAAAAAATAAAAATAAAAATAAAGCCCTCTCTCGTTTTCCAGCAAATTGATAATTACTCCGAACAATTTGATTGTGATTACTTCATATCCCGCAATTTTAAGACGATTAATTTAGGTAATTAGGTCACGTTCATTGGTCTTGCTGTCACAGAAAATCTGTTCCGAATGTTATTTTAGGTTTGTAAGCTACTGCTTATTTCATCTTAAATCAGGATGGTTATGTTAGAAGCAAGTTGATTATCTTATATATATATACTCATTTGAGCGTATCGTAATGATCATATTTTCATTAGGTTGTTAATTACCAATTCGTGTTCAAGTTCTAGTCTTTTTTTTTTTTTTTTAAATGATGGCTGAAGCAAAATATGTGCAGGAATGTGCATCTTCCGTGATCGTCCACCTTGTTATTATAGTTTGTTTTCCGAATCAATCAATATAAGATACTACTAGAAAATAGGAAACTTGGTATGTCATAATTCTATTTTCACAGTCTGCTGAAAAACGATTAAGGGACTACATAATTAAGCCTGTGGGAATTTTGTAATTAAATTCTAATTAAACCTAATTTAAATAATTAAAATTGAAGTCAGGTCTACATCTATCTTCAATTTTCCTTTTTAACTCTATATGGCATCCTTACCTTTTAACAATATTCACAATTACCATATCAAATTAGGCATTTTTTAAAAGTGTAGGTTTGAATTTGAATTTTGATTTTAAGGGTGTGTTTGGCTCAATAGAGCATATGGAAGCGGAGGGACTTTAATGGAGAGAAAGAAGATGAAAAGAAGGGAAGTGATTTTAATATTATCTTATTTGGATTAATATAAGGGGAGGGGAGGAGAGAAATTTTAATGTTACTTTGTTTGGTCTATGAAAGGAGGGGAGGTAAAATATTTTTGTTTGCACAACTTTGCCCTTATATTATTTAAGCTAATTTTTACAAACTTTATAGAGTAATTAATAGAATATAATTATAGATAATATTAAATATATGAGGAAAGAGACGCATGATTGAATCCATAAATATACCAAATCACATACAATTTAGTAGTGAAGGGTAACATGTGATTATTAGAAAATAATATGAGCATATTAGTCAACACAGGCCAAAATATTACTCTTTCTCTCTAAATTCTCCCAATTTTGGAGGGGAGGCTTATGAGGGGGAAATGTTAAAAAATTCCCCCCCCTCAAATTTTTATCTTGCCAAACAAAGAAAAATGATTAAAATCCTTTCTTCTCCCTCTTTTTCCCTCCAAATCTTTCATACCAAACGGATTGTAACTTTATCCTCTAATGTTCTTTTTAATTTTCATAATTTAAATTTTAAAGCACCCAGGTATCATAATTTAATGCGTGCATATTCTTTGCTTGCAAAAACATAAAGGAAAATTAGAAAAGAAAATTATACCCTCTCTAATATAACAACTCGTTGGCCAACTTTAAGAGATGCACTAGCTAGGTAAAGAACAGTATAATATTGGGAATTTACGTCATAATAATAATTTTCAATTCCAACTTCAAGGGAACCATCAAGAAATGGAAGTTTATTAATTGACGGATGAATGCATATATGTACTCTAATATTCTAAAAGAATGCTGCATTCACACAAACACACACATTACTTTATTACATGAAAAAAAAAGAGGAAAAAGGAAGAATCTGGAATAAAAATTCCTAGGAAAGGCCTTCTTTTGTTTACTTTAGCGCCACTATATATGTAACAATGGTTGTTAGGATTCAAGTGTGAATATAATGGATGTTATTATATATATAATTAGTATTAGACTCAAAAAAATTTCATTAGAAGCTAAGAGACCAACAGGGGAAAAAGACAGAAAGAAAGAAATGAATTCATTCACGTATGCACGCCCACCAATACGTACCCCAAATTAAGCTCATAAAATGAAACTCAATTATCAATTATCAACAAAATAAGAGATTTAAAAGAAAAGTACACCAAATTAATCTCGCATATATTGTAAAAGAGTACTATTTCTCCAATTTTAAATATAAAATTTATTTTATAGTATAAAATTTATACTATAAAATGAGTCTTATATTTAAAATCCGGAAATAGTAGGGTACACCAAGTAGTAGCAAGGCTTCCTCTCTCAGACTCACCAATACTAAGTATAAAACCACTCATTGTTTACTGTCGAGTACGATTTAAGCAATGTCGATCTAATCGAACTTTCTTAAAGTCGTTATATTTTAGTATTTGCACGGACTGGAATATGTGGCCTTTAAATTCTCTTATTCTCATGGTCCCTTGCATCAGAACCAACCTAAGTTTTATTATTAGTCAATAATTTTTGTGTGTTTATTTCTGTATGCGATAAATAAATAGCAACAATTTTCTAAAATTTAGAATCAGCATAATTAAAAACTGGGAATTTCATGCTTATAATTCCTTAGATAAAAAAAATAATAGCTGGCACTTATAGTGGATTATAAATTACTTTTTTTATTTAAACTTTATCTTTGTAATAGTCTAGATTTTGAGCCTATGGCCCTGTTTGCCATCACAATTAAAATCACTTATAAACACGTTTTATGTAAACCGAGATAAGATTCCTCTCATATATTTAACTTGTATTCTGTAAATTATGATTAAAAAGTTATTTGTAAGCTAGTCCAAATGGACTTATAAATGGCCTCCGCACTTGAAACTACGGAAGCTAATTTCTTGGTATGTCATAATTTTATTTTCATAGTTTGCTGAAAAAAGATAGAGGGACCACCTAAGCCTGTGGGAATTTGTAATTAAATTCCAATTAAACCTAATTGAAAGAATTAAAATTGAAGTTTAGTCTACATCTATATATCTTCAATTTTCTTTTTTAACTATATGGGACATCCTTGTCTTTTAACAATATTCACAATTCCCTTCCCTAATCAGATTAGGCATTTGTTAAAAGTGTAGGTTTGAATTTGAATTTTGAGTTTAGTTGGATTTAATTGGATTTCTTTCTTAATTGGATTGCTTTGTTACTTTAAAAAGGAAAAAGGAAGAAACTGGAAGAAAAATTCCAAGGAAAAGCCTTCTGTTGTTTACTTTAGCGCCACAGGATACACATGTAACAATGGTTGTTAGGATTCAAGTGTGAACATAATGGTTGTTATTATATATGTAATTAGTGTTAGACTCAAAAAATTTTCCATTAGAAGCTAAGACCAACGTGGATAAAAAAACAAAGAAAGAAAGAAATGAAGTCATTCACAGATGCACGCCCACCAATACGTGCCCCAAATTAAATTCATAAACTGAAACTCAATTATCAATTATTGGAAAGGTGTTATGCCTAACAAAAAGTACGCCAAACTCGCATATATCCATATAAGAGTAATACTTCTCCGAATAAATAGATCTTATATTTGGAATCCGGAGATGATAGTAGAATACACCAACTAGCGAGGCTTCCTCTCCCACACTCCCACACACAAACTCTTTATTTTGTAGAAAAGGCACAAATTAATTACGACACTCTTCGATTTAAAATTTGCTGTGAGTACTTTTCGATTATTGATTTTTTGGCTTCTTGAACTTTCTGAGCACTCGACAAGTTGCATCAATCGCCTTCATCGTCTTCTTATATACCTTGTGGACCAAGCTTGGAATCTTCTTATAAAGTGGGAATTCAATGAAGCCAAATATGGCGACAGGAAAGAACGAAGCACTATACACCAACGTCGAAGTCCATTTCTTCCACGGCAGCCTTATTGTGAGCAAAATCGTCGCACAAAAAGCAAGGATCGTGGTCGTCAATGCCAAGAACAGAAAAGCAAACCCCAGATTCAGTTTCTGAGGGAGAGACTTGTGGAAATCCCAGAGCTCAAATGGTGACGTGAGGATTGAAAGAAACATGACCACGGAAGCCAAGGAGAAGGCAAGTGCCACAATGTCCATGACGGTAAAGAAGATGAAAATGGGTGAACTGAGGAATACAGGTGTGCCGCCCTCGCTCCCTCCCGGGATGGTGTAGGCCGCCGCGAAGACCACCGTGGCTACAAGAACGGCCACGGTGGAGCAAGACTCGGCGGTTTGCTTTATCCATTCCCGGGCCTTTTCGAGCATGTCATGGTGCTCCATGTCCAGAACATCTTTCGCTGTTAGTGACCGATTGTCACAGTGCAAGTGTAAGTGACTAGGAACAACTTTTTCCACTCGCTACACATCCACGCTCACAAACAACAACAACAAAATCATTGGTTGTGACAAAAAAGAGACAAAAACATTAAAAACTTAGGATACATACTTTGTACCACTTGAGCTCATCTTGTAGTTTGAATGCTGCACCAGGTTGGGATGATCCTCTGTAATATTCGATGCCAGCAACTTCGTGCAACGCGGTGCGATTTGCAGCAGAAGTTCGATAACCAAGGGAAGAAAATAAATAATTTTTCTTGAGCAGTTTGAAGATTTTCAATTGACGGTGCCTAACGGCTATGTGTAGTATATTCTGGCCTTCTTTACCCATGTAATTTATAGACACTGGATGCTCTTTAAGGAACAAGTCTACGATCTCTTCAATCCCAGTGCTAGCTGCTATGAACAATGGTGTGCTGTAATGTTGTAGCTTGGTCTGATCATCTTCTTTCTCTTCCTTCTGTTCCAATTGTTGTTTCCTCTTTTCGACGTTGTAAAGAACAGGTGGCAGTTGGACCTGTGAATCTTGAATTGTGCGATTACTATACGAGATCTGCCACGAGAAGTCGTGCTTCACCAGCAACTCCGCCACACGTTTTGCTAGCTGATGATTCCTCTTATCATTCCAGAGAGATTCAATCCCCGTGAATACTGCTAATTCAGTAATTCCTCATGTTAGTTTAATCCAAATATGTATGTGGATTTTTAAAAAACAATATGTTGGCACCTTCAGCTAGATTACTCCAAACGGCGTAGTTGATTCTTGAAAGATATCTTGCTGCAATTCAGTTATATATATTAATTAATGTTAGTTATATATACTATTCTTTCAGTTTTACATGTAAGACTTATTTTGTAATGTATTTACATTATAGGAGTATATATTCCGATCACATATTTTTGAAACGAAGATCAAGTACCTGAAATTGGCGGCTTGGCACTCTCATGTGGGCCAGTTTCTATGTCTGTGTGATGCCCACATGACTCGGAGCTATTGGTAGCTTCAATTAATTGGTATCTTTCATCGGGAAGCACTATCCATCCAAATTATACACATATACATGATCCCATTTCCAGAGTTGTAAGAAATAATCATGAAATAATGGAGTTATGAAAGTAAAACAAGTAAGTTATTAAGGGAGAATTACAATGAGGTGTCAAGAAAGGAAAATAATTACCAACAGGTCTTATAACAAGTGAGTAATTACCATTTGCTACCCTACAACCTGCTATTGTAAGCTGCTTTATTGTTATCTGGATTTTTAGTAATTGTATTCCTTACTTGAAATTTCATGACAACTCTCCCAATTATTAACGATCTATAGAGAGAGAGAGAGAGAGAGAGAGAGAGAGAGAGAGTACAATGGTAGACGAGTTTGGTGAGGGACGATTCCATAGGGTAGTTGCTCCGAAAAGCTTGGGGCAAGCTAGCAAGAAGCTCAAGACAAGTGAACTTCCTTTCATTAAGCTCCATAACTAGGCTTCTCCCGTTCATTTTGCTAATTATCCAAAGAGCTACATCTGCACTCACATGTCATCAATATAATCAAACATGTCTCAGACCTGAAGGATATCAACAAGGAGAACATAATATCTATATCTAAATATATACAGTGTAATAAGCAATGTGATCTCTGAATTGAAGTACAGACCAAAATGTTGGCTATTAATACTAGCAGAAGAATGGTCTCGGTTTTGCTGTATTGATGAATTTTGAGAGCGTCAACCTCAGACTGAGCTGCTTCTACAAAATGGCTGGCGAACACATGCTGAAGCATCTTGAGGTTGCCGAACGCAGCAGCCCTGAACAGTGGCGTTTCACCTCTTTCGTTTTTCCTCTCCAGTAATCTCGGCCCCCTCTTTTTCTTCTCCTCCTCCGGCAGTGTCGCCGCCGCCTGGTTTTCATACTTGAATATAAGCTCTACCATCCGTACGGACAGTCTCTTCCGTAAGGCGATGTTGTGAAGAATAGTGTTGCCTCGACAGTTAGGCTTGGTCAAGGCGAGCCACCTGTCTTGTTCAGATAGCATCTCCAGCAAATCCTGCAAGAGCTTAGGATCATCGCTGCGAGTTGCGATGGTGAGGGCGGAGTCCTCAAACAAGTCGAAATTATTGAGCAGTTCTTTCTTGTTTTTCTCAAAGATTTGCCTGAAGGCTTTCCAATCTTGGGCCCAGTAAGCATTTTGAGCTCCTCTCATTGCCTCGCTGAACATACTCCCTCCCTCTATCTCAATCTCACCACTCTTCTCTCCCATTTTCCTCAATTCACTTGCCCACACTATCCGCTAGCTCTCATGCCCATGTGTCTATATATGTGTGTGTGTACAAACGTACACACAGTGTAAAATAGTGTAAAATACTGAAAAACTGAAAATGACCTTCGCATCTGATCTAAGCGATTTATGTTGAGTTTTGTGATAGTAGTGTACTCTGTCCTCTAATGTTCTTTTTATTTTTTTGCCAGCCTTTTAATGTCCTAATTGAAAGCATATTATTCTTTGCTTACAAAAATAGAAAGCAAAAACTGTAGTTTGCCAAACAAAAAAAGCAGATAAAGAAAGAAAGAAAGAAGGTAAAACTGGTAAAGAAAATCTTACCTTCTCTGATAACATCTCATTGGACAACTTTTAAGAGATGTACCATGAACGGAACAATATATCGGGCATTTACGTTAATAATAATAATAATAATCATAGTAATAATAATAGTAATAATTTTCCATTAGAACTTAAAAGAGATCGACTAAGGAAATAGAGGTTTATTACTTATTTCCTGTAGTTTTTCTATATAGTGGTTTGAGTGATAAAACGAAGGAAAATATTTTCATATTACTGAACACTGATTGATATATGTAAAACACTGGAAATAAACTGCGGACACAAGGGTTTTTCGCCCTTAATAGTTCCTTTTTTGGGATTAAAGAAAGTAATAATACTGTAAAAGAATGATGCGTTAATATATTTATTCTTTGCTTACAAAAATCAAAAGGAGAAAGAAGGAAGAAACTGAAAAGAAAATGCCTTCTGTTGTTTACTTTAGCACCACATTATTCATATGTATCAAGGGTTCTTAGGATTCCAGTGTGAGTATAATTAATGAATGTTTTATCATATAATCAGCATTAAAAGAGACAAACAAGGAAATGAGGGTTCATTCACACTTAAAACCCAGATCACTTGCTATCCATGAAACTCAACTGTGCTGGAGTTGGGACGACTGGACTTGAAGAAGAAAGGTGAAGAGTGAAGACATGAAAATGAAACCATGAAAAGACCGGAGGATAGGAGAACAAAATGCTTTACTGGCACTTCCTTTCTCTTTCTTCGATGTTAATAAATTTAATTTCTCACCTGTCACTCCACACAGAGTCACCGAGGTAGTAAAAACTTCCTATCCCGTTTTTTCACAAGTTAAGCAACTCTTATTTATGCATTTCTATTTTTCATATTTTCGTTTTGTGAATTATTAGATACATTATTGTGATATAAGTTCGTTAATTTATTGGAAATTAAAATATTTTTGTTTATTTTTAAATTATTTCATAACTTAATATTTTATTTTATACATATATTATTATATAAGTATATAATATTAATTTTTATTTAATTATTATATTACCGGCCCGGTTGTCAGTTCAACCGGTTCGACCGGTTAAACCGTGACCCATTATCTTTTTCGGTTTAATATCTGTTATGGTTTTTAAAACATTAATTCATAGATGCATGTTGATGGGCTTGCCAAGACTCAAGTTTGTTAATGAGTCCAACGCGTGCCCCAAATTAACCTAATCAAATGAAACTCAATTACCAATTATTTAATTAATTTATTGACCTTTCAAAGGTGTTACCTAAAAGAAATATTTCTTTAGTCATTAATATAAGACCTAATTGAAGAGTTATTATTAATCTCAAATGTAAGACATATTTCATATAATTATTAACTTTTTTCATATTAACCCTCTTGATTTTCCCTCAACAATAATTAAGTAGAAGAGAAATGAAAGAAATTAAAAAAATGTTTAGAATATTTTAAATATATATATATCATATTAACTAATTCAACTCAAATTAATTAATCGAGCATTATATTAAGACTGGAGTCAAATTCTTTGGATGGGGGTATTGTGTGGTGGTAATATTCAGAAACTAAGACTCTGTAGCTAAAGCTGCAAGTGGGCTTGTTAACCGGAGGCGGAGGAGCTAGATATTGGGCTTTAAGTGGCCCACATGGTTAAGCGCCGCTGGTATCTGAGGGCCTATTCTAGTTCCATAGAAAATATTACTACTCCTCGTATTAAATACAAGATTTAATTTATAGGGTAAAGGATCGAAAATACTATATAAACATATATTTGAACTTAATGGCTCCCCAGTCTTTTTATTTTGATTTTTAAAAACCTCTTCCCCCTTCTTTATCTAGTTGTCTTTTACTATATTTCAGTTGAAGTTAGGAAGTCCTAAAGAATCCAATACTCTCTTCGTCTCTTAGCCTTTTCCTAATGAAGTCAAAAGCATAACATGGAATTTTTTTTGACAATTCCAAATTTACCTTTAATGTTTCGTATATACTGATGCGCGGTTATAAATAATTAAAGATATAATAACTAAAACGTGAAAATGTTATATTGAGTTTTTAAAGAGACATCTAAAAGCAAAAATGTTGTTTCAAAAGGAATCATATTTTGAAGCGTAGGGAATTCAAAATGAGTAATATTGTTAGTATTTGAGATGAATAGAGATAGCATATAAGGGGATTAGGAGAATTATGTTATAAAAGAGGTTGGATAAAATTCTTCGTTGACCAACACAACCCTCTTCCTTTATTTGAATTTAGAATTGGCTATAAATTATAAGCATGTTAGGAGAATGCAATTATCAAAAGAAATCTTATATTGTCGGTTATAATTTTCTTGTGTTCTGGACAATATACTCAAATTCAAATTCGCTCGTATTATATAAGAATAACGCAAAACACCAAACCAACATGGCTTCCTATATAGGAACAACACAACTCAACAACAAACCAGCTCCTCTCTCTCTCACACACACATATTCATCAAACAACCACAATTTATCTTGCAGAAAAACTTAATAATTAACAAACCTTTGATTTGAAATTTTCACCAATTACTTTATTCATCGCTTACGGATACTTTGCTCTTTGATTCCCTCTGCAGCAACAATGTTTGCCGGCTCTATTAATTGGAATCACCTTCATGATCTTCTTGTATACCTTGCAGATGAGGCTTGGAAGCATCATATAAAGTGGGAATTCGATCAATCCAAATATGGTCACAGGAAAGAACGCAGCACTATAAACCAAAGTCGAAGTCCATTGCTTCCATTGCAACCTAATAGTCAGCAAAATGGTTGCACTAAAAGCAAGCATTGTGGTGGTGAGCGAGCAAAACAGAAAAGCGAACCCTATATTCAATTTACGTGGTAGAGACCTGTGGAAATCCCAGAGCTCAAATGGTGACGTGAGGATAGAAAGAAACATCACCACGGAAGCCAAGGAGAAGGCGAGTGCCACGATGTCCATGACGGTGAAGAAAATGAACACCGGCGATCTGAGGTACACCGGCGTGCCGCCCTCACTCCCTCCCGGGATGGTGTAGGCCGCCGCAAAAACAACCGTGGCCACGAGCACCGATACGGTGGAGCAAGACTCGGCGGTTTGCTTGATCCATGATTGTGCGTCTGCAAGCATGTTATCGTGCTCTATGTCCAGAACATCTCCTGCTGTAAGCCTTAAATAGTCACAATGCAAGTGCAGGTGATTGGGAACAACTTCTGCCACTCTCTGCACAAACCAACAAATATTGGCCTTCTTAAATATGAATACCATTAATATATACCAGTGAAGATAAGATGAATAAGAGCTAGTTATATAGTTTAATCTGTATGCTTACTTTGTACCATTTTAACTCTGCTTGAAGTTGGAAAGCTGCGCCAGCATGGTGAGATGCCCTGTAATAATCCATTCTAGCAACTTGATGCAAAGCTGTACGCTTCTCCCTAGATATTCGAGTGACCAATGTGCCAAAAGATGGATTTTTCTTGAGAAGTTTGAAGATTTCTAGCTGACGATGCTTGACGGCCATGTGGAGTAGGTTTTGTTCATCTTCACTTACGTGATTTACAGACTCTGGATGCTCTTCAAGGAACAGTTGAACGATTTCTATAATCCCATTGCTCGCAGCAACCAGCAATGGAGTGTGATTATCATAAGGGTGTTTCTCTCCTGCTTGCTTGTTTGGATCTTGGTCGTGGTCGTCGTCAAGAAGATCCTGTTTTTCTTGCCTCTTCTTTTCCTTGCGTTCCACTTGTTTCTTCCTTTTTGCGACGTTGTAAACAACAGATGGCAAAACAACCAGTGTTTTCTTAATATGATTGTAAGAGATCTGCCACGAGTAATCATGCTTAACCAGAAACTTGGCCAGACGCTCTGCTAACTGATGATGCTTCTTTCTTTTCCAGAGGGAATCAATCCCCACGAACACTGTTTGTCATACTATTTCATTAAATTTCAGTGTTGTGATCAAGGTGTGGGTGTTTTGATTCGTAAACAATATTCTTATTACCTTTAGCTAGATGTTTCCAAACCGCATAGTTGATCCTCGAAAGACCTGAATATCAGCTAAATATTATGAGAGCCCTTGGACGTGATAATTAACGTTTTTGTAACAACAGGCTAAGGTACCTGAAGCTGGTGGCTTGGCATCATTTTGTTGTCCAGTTTCTAAGTCTGATGACGGCCTAAGCAACTCGAAGCTATCGTAACCATCCATCTCATATCTTTCATCCGGAAGCACTATATATATATATATATATATATATATATCATCCAAATTACGAGTTACATTCATTTGCATTCACACAGAGAAGAGAGAGAGAGAGGGAGGGAGAGAGAAAGTACAGTTATAGATGAGATTGGCAAGGGATCCCAGAGGGTAGTGGCTCCGAAAAGCAGTGGGCATTCTGGCGAGAAGCTGAAGACAAGTCAGCCCACTTTTATTCCTCTCCAGCAGCAGACTGCTCACATCCGTTGTCATTATTATCCAAAGAGTTACATCTGCACCCACACATATATATCAACACACACACACACACACAGCCGTCATCACATATATTTTGCAAAGACTAGTTTAGGGGCATGAAACTTTTTCATTGAGTGAGACCGAGAGAGGTGATAGGTTCAATCCCGTTTGCAATAACCAAGAGAGTCGACATTCTTTTGGCGGAAAAAAACTCTTATGATAACATTATGATTATGCAAAACGGAATAAAAGTCTCGACACTCTGATACTTTATCCTGAAGCACAATACTTTTACTTTAATCATAAAAATAAAATTATAAAATTACACAAGTGAAAAACATACTACCTCCTTGACATGAGATACATTTTGTATAGTGCAATTTACTGGTAGATCTTATATTTAAGACTGGAGGTGATATATAGTAAAATAATGAAACTGTAAATAAAACAAATCTGATCTACGACAAAAGAAAAAAAAAAACCTTTTTTTTAGCTTCGTCTGTAGAAAAATGGGAGATAGAGCGATGTATGGCAGATGATTCAAATTAAAATGATTCAACCAACCCAACAAGTCAAGATATACAGAGTACCTAGTAGAAACCATAATTAAAACAAGTGCAAGAAAGGAGATATATAGTTACCAAAAGATTGGCCATTCATACTAGCATGAAGAATGGTCCAATTATCACTGCGAAGATGAATTTTCACATCACTCTGAGGCTGAGCTGCCGCGCGTTTGGCCATATGGATTACCATCTTCAAGTTGCCGAACTTAGCTGCCCTAAACAGTGGGGTTTCACCTTTTGCATTTTTCCTCTCCATCAATGGCCTTCCCCTTTCCTCCTCCTCCTCCTCCTCCTCCGCCGGCGGCGGCCCCATCTTCTTTTCGAAGTCGAGTACGACATCAGCCATCTCCACCACCCTGCTAAGCAAAGCGATTTCGTGAAGGAGAGTGTTATCTTCACAGGTCTTCCTCGTGAAAGCAAGCCAGCGTTCTTTTTCTGAAAGCATCTCCAGCAAATCCTGAAGGAGTTTGGGGCTATCAGAGCGAGCTGCAACATTAATGGCGGTGTTCTTGAACAAGTCGAAATCCTCAAGCAGATCTTTCTTATCTTCTTCAAAGATTTCCTTGAAGGCTCTCCAATCTTCAGACCTAGAAGCTCTCTGAGCTCTTTTTATTCTCTCGCTGAACAGAGAAGCCTCTCCCTCTATCTTAATTTCACCACTCGTCTCTCCCATTTTCCTCTCACGAGCACACCACTTGTGCCCGGTGTCTGTATGAATTTCTTTATATACATAGACACGCACACACAGTCTGAGGGAAGCTTTCCAATCGCTAGGCAATATCTAAGTATTTTTTATGTAAAAAAAAAAGGAAAAAAAAAAAGAAGAAGAAGTGAAAATCGACTGTTAGTGTGATGCATAATAATAGCTTTTTAGAATTAGAACCTAGCACTATTCAAAAGTGAGCTACGTCATAATTAGTGTGTGTGTGTGTATGACACAGTAGAATCTACCATACGATCAGTATAAGGATGCCAGTAGCATAAAATAATTATTGTATTATTTTTTATATATTGTCGTGTAATTTAACTTTTACGTTAAATATCAGGATGTCTTAGTCTAATTAAAATTTTGTTTTGAAAAAAATGTATAATCGAACTTTTAACTATGGTGCACTTCAAATTTAAATTCATATGATAATTACTGCTGTATTAAAAAATATAAATAAACTAACAGTGCCTATGGTCAGCAATATATTGCATGGTATAAAGACTTGAAGTCAAAAATGAATAATTAGTCTTATAGAAGTGTGGCCGTCTTCTATGGTTCTTTTTATTTTTTTTTCTTTTTAACGAGCTGTAATTTTCTAAGAGCATATGTGCCGCGATATGTATTCTTTGTTGCTTGCAGAAAATCAAAAGTAAAAGGGAAAAAGGTGAAAAGAAAATGCCTTATGTTTTTTCACTTTAGTACCACGTAATACATATGTACCAGTGATTGTTAGAATCCAAGCGTGAACAATAATGAATGTTAGAATTATCGGTATTAGCCTCGTAGTAATAAAAGCATTCCACTTGAAGAGAGGCCAACAATGTACCTCGTCCGTTACGTACTATAAGACATTAGCGAGAAGAAAATTATAATCTAAAATATAAGATGTTGTTAGAATAATTAATGTCATTTTTTACTTTCACCACTATTAAATATAACAGAGACAGGAGTGACATAAAAATTAATAAAAGTGTAATGTTAAAGGCAACTTTATTATTTTTAGAACTAAAATAGAAAAACGTTATTATTTTAAAACATGTTTAATGACTAAACTTTTATTTTTTAATATGTGAGAAAAGTTAACTAATTTTTTATATTATGGACTGGAGCGAGTATAAGATGTTGCCTAAGTTTTCTCAAAAATCAAGAAACATTAGTTAAGTTATTAAATGTATTTTAAATTAATAAAAATTACCTATCTTGCCCTCGTTAAAGAATATGATACGAAAATTTTCTCATCTCTCCTGCATTTAATAAATACCCTCCCTCCTCCTTATAATAAGAGGTAAAAGTGAAAAGCTATGATTAATTATCTCATAAAAGACTTCCAAGAGATCATGATAAAGGTTTTTCTTCTTGGCTAGCCGAGACCCAAGCTGTTGTTCATTTGCCCCCAAATCACAAATTTTTCTTTTTAGTCCCCCAAATCACAAATTAAGTTTATGAAAGGCTTAATATAAATTTTGGTTCATGAATCTCAAACCATAGATTTTGGTCCTTCAGAAGTAAGATGGTTCGAGTTTTTATTGAATTATAAGGATGAATATTTTAAATGAAAGGGAACTTGAAAAACCAAAACTTATGGTTTGAAATTTAAAAGATCAAAACCAAAATGAGAGTAAATTTGAGGGATCAAAGATTATATTAGCCTTTTATAAAATAAGAAATCAATTAATTTATACATAAAAATTTTTCAGCTGTGATTTTTTAGATGAGTAATGAATCTTAGAAAACCGAATCATGCAGGTAAATTTATGAATATATCTTAATTATGTTATATGTTAAGAGAGCGGAGTACTGGCTCCAAGGATTTATGAAACTAAATTAAGTCAATAAATCTGTACTTATCTTAATAACGTGCATCTCAACATTTGATATCACCAACCATATAAATTTGGAAGTAGAGATGGCTGTAGATATTAAAATTACTATTATTTATGAATTGAGAAGAACTAAACACACACAAGATCAGAAACAGGAGAATGAGACAATCACAAGAAATCGTATCTTATTCATCCACAGTTTAAAAAGAAACACTACAACAAGAACTTTTCAAAAGTCGCAAATGTTAGAGAAATATAACACACCACACCAACCACATCAAGGGCTTCCCCGTACAAACACTACTACAAACTCCTTTATTTAGCGGAAAACGACAAATGAACAGATCAATTGAAAATTCGAACTGATTTCTGTTCTTCGCTCATTGGTCCTATACTATCTCAAACCCCTCTGCTTAATCGACCAATTGGAATCATCTTCTTCCATCGCTTGGGGAACATCTTGGACAACATGCTCCAAATATTCTTGTAAAGTGGGAACTCAATCAAGGTAAATACGGTGATAGGAAAGAGCGCAGCACTGTACACCAGAGTCGAAGTCCATTGCTTCCATGGCAACCTTATTGTGATCAAAATGGTAGCACTAAAAGCAAGCATCGTGCAGGTCAACGACAAGAACAGAAAAGCAAATCCTGTGGTCAGTTTCGGTGGCAGGGACCTGTGGAAATCCCACAGCTCAAATGGCGCGTTGAGGATGGAAAGAAACATCACCACCGAAGCCAAGGAGAAGGCAAGCGCCACGATGTCCATGACGGTGAAGAATATGAACACCGGAGCCCTGGAGAGCAGCGCGGAGCCACCCTCGGTCCCGCCCGGTACGATGTAGGCCGCCGCGAATACCACCGTCGCCACGAGGACTGCGACCGTGGAGCAAGACTGAGAGGTATCTTTTATCCATTGTTGGGCGTCTGCAAGCATCTGATCGTGCTCTATGTCCAGAAGATCTCCTGCTGTTAGTAGATCTTTGTCACAATGCAAGTGAAGGTGAGATGGAACAATCTTCTCCACTCGCTGCACATCAGACACAAGATTGCATATTGGTATCGTTGAACATAGCTCTAATATATTAATCATATTTCATGAGCTTAATGGCCTGTACTTACTTTATACCAATCCAGCTCTTCTTGAAGTTGGGATGCTGAGCCAGGTATGGGTGATCCTCTGTAATAATCCATCCTCGCAACTTGGTGTAATTCCGTGCGATTACTTTGAGTAACTCGAGAAGCCAGTGAGGGAAGCTCTGGTTGATCCTGTAGCCACTTGAAGATTTCTCTTTGACGGTGCTTGACAGCTATGTGCAGCATGTTTTGGCCACCTTCACCGAAATGATTTATAGACTCCGGATGCTCTTTAAGGTACAAGCGTATGATTTCTATAATCCGTTGCTAGCTGCTATAAGCAATGGCGAGTGATCTTTATAGTTTATAGTGTTCCAGTTTGTCCTTCTCCTCTCCTTCTCTTTCTTCCATAACTTCTTCTTTTCCTTCCATTTCAATTCTTGTTTCCTTTTCGCGACATTGTGTAGAACTGGGGGAAGCTTGACCACTGTTTTATCGTGAGGTTCGTTATAGTAAGAATTCTGCCACGAGTAGTCGCGCCTCAAAAGAACCTCGGCCACACGTTCTACTAATTGATGTTTCTTCTTTATTTCCCAGATCGACTCCATCCACTCGAATACTGCTCGCTCATTTTGGTCAAGCATGCATATAATTAATGATCCATATTAGCATGTATATTCGAATATTCAATCCATTAATAATTTAATTGACTCAGTATATATTTGTGTGGGGATTTTAGTTCAATGATGGTGGCACCTTTGGCTAGATATTGCCAAACTGCGTAATTGGCCCTTGAAAGATGACCTGCAAGTCATCATCTGTTAAATATTAATTTCTCAGACAATGCATACGAAGTGTTTGATATTTTTCAAACAGAAGTACCTGGGGTTGGTTGCCTGGCATCATGTTGTTCGCCAGTTTCTAAGTCTCGCCACAGCAACTGATCAAAGCTGTTGCAACCTTCAATGTCGTATCCTTCATCGGGAAGCACTAAATCGTCCAAATTACAAGTTTTATATACGGAGAAGCAAAGAAAGTTGGGTGTGAGAACTGATGCGGTTATGTGTTAATTAAAAAAAGTGTTAGCTAGATGTAAAGAGAGAATATACATCTATAGACGAGTTTGGCGAAGAATTCCGGGGGATCATAATGACTGTGAAAAGAACTAGCATTCTGGCAAGAAGCTGAAGGCAAGTCAGATCATTTTTATTCTGCTTCCCAGGTAGATCATTATTCTTATCCATTTTCATGATTATCCTGAGAGCTACATCTGCACAAACATATTCAATATAATCAAACATTAGCCTTTTTTTGGTAAACCTAATGATCATTTTTTTGAAAAAAGAATTTCTTCTATACTTTGCGACATAAAACTCTTCACAGCAAAAAGAACACTTAAAATTCCAAAACAAAGTTCAGAAAAATTTCAATTTTCTTTTCTTAAATCATAATTATATAAATGCGTATGAAAATAAATAATTTGACTTAAGCATAAGAACTACTGAAGGATGGTTATATGACTACCGAGCACTTGGATTAATTGGTAGGAGTTGTTTCAACTTAACCAAAGGTCAAGGGTTCCATCATATGGGGTTGCTGCCCATATAGGTTATAGTATAACCCGATCTGAATTTGTCTGGCTTATAATTTTTTGAGGGATTAACTCGAATATTAGATGCATATGGAGAAAAAAAAGACAATATTGTGGATTATTTGACAAAAAATATAGCAGATGCATAATACAAACAATAAAAATTCTACTTAAAAAGATAAAAACTCAATATAAATATTACTGATAATATGTAATAATCCATATTCCACTATACTAAAAAACTAAAATAATAAAAAATTGTTTCCAATCAAATCTCAATCCTGAGAGACTTACCAAAGGATTGTGCGTTCAAACTAACATGCAAAATGGTCTCTCTGGGGCTTTCTTGATGAATTTCCAGCTTAGCCTGAGGCTGATCTTCTGCACGCTTGACCAAATGGGTCAGCATCTTGAGGTTACCGAACTTAGCAGCCTTGAACACCGGCTTTTCACCATTTAAGTTTTTCCACTCCAACAATGGCCTCCTCTTCTCCTCCTCTTGCTCCTCCTTCTCCTTTGATGATAGCTCTGCCATCTCCGCCTTCTCCTCCGCTACCAGCTCCGGCGGCAAAGGAGCGGTCTTTTCGAAATCAAGTACGATGTCCGCCATCTCCAACATCTTGCAAGCCTCGGCAATTATATGGAGAAGGGTGTTGCCTTGACGGTTCTTCTTCCTCACGGCGTGCCACCTTTCTTCTTCAGATAGCTTTCCCAGCAACTCCTTCAACAGTTTTGGATCATCAGAGCGAGCTGCCATGTTAATGGCGGTGTTCCCCAACAAGCCAAAATTCTTTAGCAACTCTGTCTTATTATCAGCAAAGATTTTCTTGAACTTGTCCCATTTTTGGGACCTATAAGCTCTTTGAGCTTGTTTACTTGCGTAACTGAACAAATCTGCCTCTAGCTTGATCTCAATACTCTTCTCTCCCATTTTCCTCTCACGAAGACTGAAGTTAAACTTCCCTTAATTGTCGCTTTGGGGTTACTCCAAAAATTAACCGAATTAATGCAATATAGTGCAAAACTCGGGTCGTTTCACTTTGAGGAGCCGAAAACGAAATTAAACCCTAGTAAATAAATGCAAGTAACCTAAACTATAAAAAGAGATTTTTGATTTTGAAAAGCTGTTAATTAAATACTACGAATCAAATTGAAATTAAAATACTTTTTTTTTTTGTTTTTATATAAAAGTGATTAAAATGAATGGAAATTAAAGAAATGAAAATGAGAGACACAGATAATACTGATAAAAATCAATCCTCCAATTCAACAACGCAGGCAATCATCACTCTAAAAGATGTGGGAGTTAAAAACAATGAATTAAGAATTATAATTAAGCTTTTGATCCAACAACCGAGCCACCTCGAGTTGTCACAAAATATTTTCCTAAAATCCCAACTTACTAACTGCAACCAGAATAGTAAAATGGGATTAAGGATGCTAAAACCAATGCTTAATTAGAACTCTTAAATCCAAAATAACAGAATTAAAGCTAGCAAGAGACTATATGATCCAAAATTCTAAGCCACCTTAGAAAATCACAATATATTAATTTCAAAATCAATACAAATGTCATAACCACAACATTATAATTGAGATCAAAACTATAAACAGCCCAATGTCAAATACTAAGCAATAATCCAGTCACAATAATCCCCAAATATAATCAGATTAAGCAATACAATTATCCCAACAATTAGAAAAACTATTCTAAGACCTAGGAATTGTTAAACAATTATTGAGTAGGAAATTAAAGCAACTAAAACTCCCCTTTGATGATCCAAGCTCCTGCCATTATTGTTGAATTAGAGAATTAGGAATTAGCCATGGTTTGCCATCAAATTCGCTGCAATCAGTATTTTGCTACAGGATCCCATGGAAGAACACTGTTCACGCTGAATGGTTCACGTCTCTGTTTCGCTGGTCTGCGTCTGCGTGTTCTCTGGTCCTTTCTCCAGCCGCGCCCAGCTCGCCTTCAGCGTCCGTGTATTCAGCTCCGTTCGGCGTGCTCGTGTGTGTCTCCTCTGTTCTTTTCCAGGTCCGTCGCTCAGCTCGTGTGTGTGTTCTTATTTCCGTTCGGCGTCTTCTGTTTTTTCCGCTGGTCAGCTTCGCCGCCTCCAGTTCGCTTGCGTCTCCCCCGCTTTAGTTGAAGATGATAATAATATATATTAGGGGTGGAGCAAAACGCAGCGTTTTGCTCCCCCTTTTATTATTTTATTGCTTTCCCTTTTTTTTTATTTTTTTTTTTAGTTTTATTTATTTTCAAAATCTTCTAAAAACCTGCAAGCAAAAATTCAAAGATAAGGTAGTATTAATTGTCCTCAAAAATCAATTAGTCACAATTAAACCAAAATATGACAATTTTGCCCCTATAAAATAATAATTCAAAATAGCACATATTAAATCAATTAATCAATCAATTAAGGTCAAAAGGGACTAATTAAGTTGACAAAACCCATATAAAAGATATCAAAATATATAAAAATAATTGAGTTTGTCAAAGACACTCCTGCTTGTGCTCAATGTCTGTATGAACTGCTTTATATATACTCTCACTCACAAGATTAGTGACTAATAAGCTTTTTCACTAGGGTCCTTAGTACTCCTCCGGTTCTCAATATAGGGCCCAATTGTCAAGTTAATTTTGATCAAAACTTATTTCTCATATTTATTAATTTTTTCTAAATTACCCCTATAGATACTCTCCAACCATAGTCAAGTAAGTGAAGGATGAAGGATATTGAGAAAAATGATTATGGTGTTTTAAAAAAAACTTGTCATATTTCTTATAATTAACTAATTTATCTAAATTTTTTAATAGAATCAAATTAGTTAAATAGACCTTAATATAATCAAATTAGTTAAATAAGTCTTATATTAAGGACAAGAGGACTATAATATAAGACTAGGTGTTTTTTATATATATTAAGAATAGAAGGTAATACCTATATGTATTTTTGTGTAATAAAAATGAAAATCGAATTACAAAATGATGAATAATAATAATAGCTTTATAAAATTTAGAACCAACGATTTTAACTGAGCTACTCAGTAAAATATAAATAACAACAAAATCTAGGGCAAGGATCAGTTTCAATTTCACGATTCCCCGGCAGAATAAAATAACCATGGTATTTTTGTACCCAAAAAAAAAAACCATGGTATTCTTTTTACATATCGTCGGGCAATTTAATTTTTATTTTAAATACCATAGTCTACTTAAAATGTTCTTTTGTTTTTTTTGTTTTGCATAACTCAAATCATTTTGAACTTGAAACTATCTCTATTAAGTCGAAAGTGTTAAGATTAAAATTTAAACTTGTATTATTCTTTTTATGAGATGAAACTACTGACCGTTGGCTTGGTTACTTGAAATTTTCTTTTCAAGTAACAGTCAGTGTTTTTTTTATTTTTTTGCCGACGCCAGTGGTCAGTCATGCTGGTAATAAAGACGTGAAGTAGTTTTTAAAAATAAAAAAAATAGAGAGAGGGAGAGAGGCCCCACAACCACAAAGAAAGGCCTTGCTCATCATTATTTGTTGGGACTTTAATTCGATGTATTTGTGGGTCGTGGAATATTCATGGGTCCGTCCTTTTTTTTCTTTGGTCAATGGGTCCGTCCTTTAATGTTCTTTTTGACCCCATTTTAACGAGTGCTGTGATATTCTCAGAAGAGAATTACAACCAAGTCCAATATAAAAAAAATAATTACCGAAAAGTTCTAATAATAATTTTAACAGTCTATAATAACAAGTTTTATAGTGAGAATGATATCTTTTGGGACTTGTTTTTTAATTTTTTTTTGTTTGAGACCTCATTGTAATTCTCTCTATTCTAAAATCATGCGGTGCGACATATATTTTTTTGTTTCTGGCTGATCTATAAACCTTAAAAATATATTCTTAAGTTACTACAAATATTTAAAACTATCCCCAGATTAATCATAGAATTGGTTGAAGGGTGGCCAATCACCTCCCTGTATGATGAGAAAAAACTCAAAATATAGTCATAATAAAAATAATCCATAAAAAGAGTTAAGACAAAATAGTAAAAACTAGCTTCTCTCTATTGAACCATATCCCTACCCCATAATAAAAAAAAAATCATAAATAAGGATGTTTTATAATCCGCAAACATAATAAAAAAACCATACAAAATTATAAATGTGCCATATGGGTTAAAATACATTCAATATCCCGGTGTATTTTTTTAGGTGTGTTCTGCTCTAAAATATTTTGTAGTATAATATTGTTCAAAGAGTATTAATTTTTCCAGGTGTGATTGTGTTTTTTAAGGAGCAATTTTAACCTCATCCGCCATGAACTCCTCAAAAAATTTGTTAAATGAATATGTATCTAGCATTTTAAAATATTTTATTATTATTTTTATGCTAAATGTATTTAAAAAAAACTTTAAAATACTAGATGTGTTACAAAATATTTTAAGATGTTAGATATATGTAAATGAACCTTAAGCCTATAAATATTGATAAACAAATTGATTTTGTATCAATACTCCAAAAACTTTTTATCTAAATAAAGTAGTGATTAAACGCCTTTTCGGGGGGACTTTTAATGCCCACACACATATAATAAATTCGTCATATTGCATAGCGTTAACCCTGTCTTTTTTGGACTTCGGCGCAAATTACCATGTTGAACCGGTGCTTCCCCATCACCTCTTTCACTTTTTTTTGGATCCGGGGTTTCGGAGCAAGTTGTGATTAACTACCCAATCGCTGCTCTACCCCATATCTCACGTGTAATCCATGTCTTCTTCCTTTTTTTCCCTTTCTATTTTATATTTCTTGCAAAATGAAAAAGGATATGATCGACACTTGAATGTTGATGGGCTAGCCTATACCCAAGTTCATGGTGTAATATATGCCTCAAATTAAGTCTATCACAGAAGAAATCAATCAATCAATCAATTAATTAATATATCCAAATCTTCATCTTTGATTTTATTAAATGGCTAAGAGATACTACCTCCTGTCTTTAAAATTTGGTCTGAACAGTTTACAATTCCATAAGGCATAATGGCTAAGTAAAATATAAAAGAGAATATATAAATGAATTTTAATAGATAAAATTAACTAAACATTAAAACGACTTATTTATAAAATCCAATCACGAAACAGTATGAAAAACCTTTTTTGATTAAGGACTTTAACAGAACAAATAATAAGTATGGACACACAGTCTATAAGAGTAAGTAACCAGCAAGTGTGGTTGAACCCACAAAGACAAGCGCAGGAATGATACCCACAAATATCAAATGAGCTCGATGTTAACCATGATGCACCAATACAAGCACAATCGAAGCCATGAATATCAAGTGCATCTGAAGCCAAGAAACAAGCACAGTCGAAGCCACGAATATCAAGCATAGCTGAAACCACGAAACGATCAAGCTTGATATTAATCATGGCGCACCACAGGCTAACGGCGCTTTTGTCAGCAACTAGCGTTCTGTGTTCAGTCGCGTTCTGTGTTCAGTCTTCAAAAAGAACATTCACAAGCATGCATGGGGTCAAAATTTATAGTAACTGAAAGATCTTCTTTTGATGATAAAAGCCTGTAGGGTATATTTCACGAAGAAGACCCAGCATGAAGATTTTAAAATAACAGTTCCAAAACTTTCTTTTCAAATGTCATTAGTTAACACCCAAAAAAAAAAATTCTTTCTAAATAGCTTGAGCTCACATAGGGACATTTCAATATGTGTGTGTGTATACAACATCTACGCATGAAAGTTTACAAAAGACATCTCAAAAGAAACAATTAAAGAAAAATAAATAACGAGTGAAATCTTCCATTAATTATTAAAGCTCGACATATCCCCGGACCCATCATGTCAGTTACAAATTCTGGGGAGACGGAAGAGTATCCAACTTACCGGAAGAGTAGTGTTCTCTCAAGCATATGGAGCAGAAGACTCCCTCAATCAAGCACAACAGCATCAGCAACCAAAGGGAAAAGAAAACCAGAAGAACCAGAGGAGGAAACACCGGGGAAGAAGGAGAGTTCGCACGATCGACAACATCCCACTGCATTACTATGCTTATTTCATTATTATTATTACTTTTAATATTGATCACTTTTTTTTTAAGGGCTATTACAAAACCCTTCTGCTTGATCGACCAATTGGAATCATCCTCTTCCATCCCTTGGACAACGTGCTCCAAATCTGCTCGTAAAGTGGGAACTCAAACAAGGCAAATATGGTGACAGGAAAGAGCGCAGCACTGTACACCAGAGTGGAAGTCCATTGCTTTGGAGGCAACCTGATTGTGATCAAAATGGTAGCACTAAAAGCAAGCATCGTGCAGCTCAACGCCAAGAACAGAAAAGCAAATCCTCTTCTCAGTCTCTTTGGCAGGGACTTGTGGAAATCCCACAGCTCAAATGGCGCGTTGAGGATGGAAAGAAACGTGACCACCGAAGCCAAGGAGAAGGCAACCGCCACGATGTCCATGACGGTGAAGAATATGAACACCGGAGCCCTGGAGAGCAGCGCGGAGCCACCCTCGGTCCCGCCCGGTATGGCATAGGCTGCCGCGAAGACCACCGTGGCCACAAGGACTGCCACCGTGGAGCAAGACTGGGCGGTTTCCTTTATCCATCGTTGGGCGTCTGCGAGCATCTGATCGTGCTCTATGTCCAGAAGGTCTCCTGCTGTTAGTAGATCTTTGTCACAATGGAAGTGAAGGTGAGATGGAACAATTTCTTCTACTCGCTGCACGCAACACACAAAAACGAATATTGATTTCGTCTAACAGTTCTAATAATATGATTGAATATTTTCATATACATATTTCCCTGGCTGGGCTTAATAATGACCTATAAATATACTTACTTTATGCCAGTTCAACTCTTCTTGAAGTTGCAACGCTGCACCAGGTAGGGCTGGTGCTCTATAATAATCCATCCCCGCAACCTGGTGTAATGCTGTGCGATTCTCTCCATTAACTCGAGAAGCCAGGAAAGGAACTACTTGTTCATCCTCTAGCAAGTCCAAGATTTTCTCTTGACGGTGCGTCACGACTACATGCAGTATGTTTTGGCCATCTTCACTGACGTGATTTATAGACTTTGGATGCTCTTCAAAGTAGAATTTAATGATTTCTGTAATCCCATTGGCGGCTGCTACACGCAATGGTGGGTGTTGTTGACGTTCCGCTGTTTCCTGCTCATCTTCTTCATTTCCTTCCCTCAGTACTTTTTGCTTACGCTTCCATTTCAGTTCTTGTCTCCTTTTCGCCACATTGTAAAGAACTGGGGGAAGTTTGGTTGGTGGTTTATCGTTGCTTTCGTCATAAGAGTACTGCCACGAGTAGTCGCATTTCACAAGAAACTTGACCAACCTCTCTGCTAACTGATGTTTCTTCTTTTCCTTCCGGATCGGCTCAATAATCCACTGAAATACTGCTTGCTCATCATCAAGCATGCATAATTAATAATTCATGCATGTTAGTATATATCCGAATATCCAAACTACTAATAATTTGATTGATTCAGTATTGAGTGTTGATTGTGTGTGTGTGTGTGTTCAATGATGTCACCTCCAGGTAGAGAATTCCAAAAAGCGTAATTGATCTTTGAAAGACAACCTGCAAGTTAAAAAGAATTACTACACACTAAAACATTAATTTTAGCTCACAGCAGTAGGCAAAAATCGTTGCTATAGGATAAAATTATTACCTACACCTGACTGTTATTGTTTCAGACCACAAGTTCATGGATGATAAAACCATGGCTGGCCTATAGTCAGATGATAGACAGTCTAATTGTCAACGGTTTTCTTAATTACTATTGTCAAGTTATGCCGACAGTTTAACTGTTACCTATATATAACTTCAATAGCAACAGTTTTTAATTAGTGATAACTAGGTCTTTTTTTACAACAGTTTTTCTAATGTTTTCATTTTCTCAAACAACAAGTACCTGGAGTGGTTGGTGGCCTGGGATCATCTTGATGTTCGCCGGTTTCCAAATCTCTCGCCGGAGTCCTAAGCAGCCGATCAAAGCTGTTACACCCTTCGATGTCGTATCCTTCATCAGGAAGCACTATCGTCCAAATGACAAGTTATTTGCATTTTCAAAGAGAGTTGTTAATGTGAGAACTGATCTATGCAGTTATGTAGTCAACTAAAAAGGAACTAAATATAAAGAGGATGTACATTTATAGACGATTTTGGTCATGAATCGCTGGGGTTCATAATGACTATAAAAAACAGTAGGCATTCTGGCCAGAAGCTGAAGACTTGTCAGACCATTTTTATTCTTCTTCACAGCCAGACTACTCTTATCCATGTTCATGATTATCCAAAGAGCTACATCTGCACACACATGTTGAATATATAAACATCCTTCTTCTCCGAATTAGGGCAAGCATGTTTCAGAAAAGTGTCTTCTACCTAGCTACCTGGTTTTATTTCTTGCAATTTGCCGCTAAAAACTGGTTTCTATTTTCTATACTTACCAAAGTATTGCCCGTTCACACTAGCATGAAGAATGGTCTCTGTAGCGCTTTCTTGATGGATTTTCATGTTAGCCTGAGGCAGATTTTCCGCATGCTTGACAAAATTGGTTAGCATCTTGAGGTTACCGAACTTAGCAGCCTTGAACACCGGCGTTTCACCTTTTAAGTTTTTCCACTCCAACAATGGCCTTCTCTTCTCCTCCTCTTGCTCCTTCTTCTCCTCTGATGATAGCTCTGCCATCTCCGCCTTCTCCTTCTCTGCCAGCTCCGGCGGCAAAGGAATGGTCTTCTCGAAGTCGAGTACGATGTCCGCCATCTCAGCCACATTGCAAGCCTCTGCGATTTCATGAAGAAGCGTGTTGCCTGCATGGTTCTTCTTCCTGATGACACGCCACCTTTCTTCTTCAGATAGCTTTCCCAGCAACTCCTTCAAGATTTCTGGATCATTAGAGTCAACTGCCTTGGTAATGGCAGTGTTACCACACAAGTCAAAATCCTGAAGCAAATACATCTTATCATTATCAGCGAAGATTTTCTTGAACTTTTCCCATTCTTTGGAGTTATAAGCTCTTTGAGCTTCTCTCATTGTTTCGCTGAACATATCTCCCTCTATCATAACCTCACTATTCTTCTTTCCCATTTTTCCTCTCGTCCTGCTGCACACACTTGTGATCAACTTGTCGATCTATTTATAGTATTTATATACGCAATGTGTGAGGGAATCTCACAAGTTTTCTTATTAGGCGATACCTTTGTAGTATATTTTTTTCAGATGAAATTGAAGATTATTATAGTGTTATTTGTGTATTGTGCATTTATAATTTTCAATAAGTTAGACCCAACATTATTAGATCATTTCAACTATTCCTGCAATGTATAACAATAACTGTTATTCATAGTATCGTGTAATTTAATTTTGTTATTTTAATCATAGCTCAGCAGTAATATCTAACTTTTAAGTTTAGTTTGTTCTGATTTTAAATTTTATATGATAATTATATATGTTAAAATATAAATAACAGTAACGCTGACGATCTTATATATATATATTTTCGAACTTCAGAAATTAATTTCTTATCTTTAGTGATATATATGTGTATAATTATTGAAAATGACCTCCAGCCATAAGTGCTTTACTCATCATTCTTTTTGTTTCCGTACGAGATCAAAGTAACATGACTATTCTTTGCTTGCAAAAACGATAAAGTAAAAAAAGATGCCTCCTCTTTTTCAATTTACCTATGTGTGTCGCCCCATCGGAAGAGGATTTTTTTTTGGGGGGATCTATAGAAAACTTTTGGAAAAACTTCAAAAAAATCCTTGAAATATAAGAAATTTCAGATTGGGTCCTGAAATTTTGAAAATGACAGAAAGGGTCAGTGACCCAATTTGTTATTTGTAAAATTAAGAAGAATTGATAACCTTGCCCCTCATTTGTATTCATTCATTATAATGATTTAAAGAATCATTATAAAAGTTTAAGCGTTACATAGATTCGTGTAGGGAATAACTACTCACTTTTTCATGGTCAGGTGTCTTGTTATTAACTACAACTAATTGTGTAATCACTAAAATAATGTAAGCATTACTTAGATTCGTGTAGAGAATAAACTACTCATTTTTTCATAGTTAGGTACCTTATTATAATTATAACTAATCTTATAATCACTAGAACAGTGTGTAAGCGTTACTTAAATTTGTTTAGAGAATAACTACTCACTTTTGCCTGGTCAGGGGAAAAATTGTCAATTTATCTTAATTTCACAAATGACAGATTAGGTCACTGATCTTTTCTATCATTTTCGAAATTTCAGGACTCAATCTGAAATTTTTTATATTCCAAAGACCTTTTTAGAATTTTCCCAAAACTTTTCCCATGATTTGGCTAGATTTGGAGTAACTCATAGCTAGGGCTTTCTATTTCATCAGGACGGCTTCTCAGTGATCTTATATTGATTTTTTTTTTTCCGATTGCTTCTTTTGCTTTGACATCCAAGACATGAACAAACAAAGGAGGGGGGAATATCTCTATTCTTCCCATCTACTCAAGTCAGGGTGAAAGTCGAGTTCAGAGGTTTGCCCCGTTTATCCTGTGAGGGACGTCAGCGGTTCGAGTCCGCTTATCTTCACCGTGTAAACTTACAAAACTGTGATAGCATCCAATTTTTCTGATTTGTCAGTTCAAGACTCTACTGCAAAGGAAAGGAAAGTCAAACTCCTAGCGCTAAGCCTAGAAAGCTCTCAGGCCCGCAATAGACTCTATCAGACTAGGAATCTCTATTCGTTAATTAATTTGCTGCTGCGTAACTACTGAAATTAGTGCGTGATATTTGTCGATTTATTGGGGAAAAAAGTTAAACTTTAGCTTGTCAGATATACCATGACTTGCTCACATCCTTATTTTTGTCACCTTGTGACTACTAATTACAAGTCTAGTTATTTATGGAGCAAGAGAAACACTACCTTGCGAATTCCCAGAGTCTTAAATAAAGCCCTCTCTTTTTCCAGCGAATTGGTAATTACTCCAAACAATTTGACTGTGACTACTTCATATCCTACAATTTTATGACGATTAGTTTAGGTAATTTTAGAACAGGTTCATTGGTCTTGCTGTCACAGAAAATCTGTTCCTAATATTGTTTTAGGTTTGTAAGCTACTGTTTATTTCATCTTAAATCAGGATGGTAATGTCAGAAGCAAGTTGATTATCTTATATACTCCTTTCTGGATATTGTAATGTTCACATTTTCATTAGGTTGTTAATTAACCCTTCGTGTTTAAGTTCCAGTCTTTTTCTTAATGATGGCTGAAGCAAAATATGTCCAGGAATGTGCATCTTCCGTGATCATCCACCTTGTTATTAGTTTATTTTCTGAATCAATCAATATAAAATACTACTAGAAAAATAGAAAACTTGGTATCTCATAATTTTATTTTCATAGTTTGCTGAAAAACAATTGAGGGACTACCCAAGCCTGTGGGAATTTGTAATTAAATTCCAATTAAACCTAATTGAAATAATTAAAATTGAAGTTTGGTCTACATCTGTATATCTTCAATTTTCCTTTTTGACTATATGGGACGTCCTTGTCTTTTAACAATATTCACAATTCCCTAATCAGATTAGGCATTTGTTAAGAGTGTAGGTTTGAATTTGAATTTTGATTTTAGTTGGATTTAATTGGGCTTCTTTCTTAACTTTATCCTCTAATGTTCTTTTTAATTTTCATAATTTAAAGCACCCAAATATCATAATTTAATGCCTGCATATTCTTTGCTTGCAAAAATGTAAAGGAACCTCTCCAATATAATAACTCATTGGCCAACTTTAAGAGAGGTACTACGTAAAGAACAATATAATATTGGGAATTTACGTCATAGTAATAATTTTCAGTTCCAACTTAGAGGGACCGATCAAGAAATTCAAGTTTATTAAATTGACAGATGAATACATATGTACTCTAATGTTCTAAAAGAATGCTGCATTCACACAAACACACTCACATACGTTGCTTTATTAAATTAAAAAAAAGGAAAAAGGAAGAAACTGGAAGAAAAAATTCCTAGGAAAAGCCTTATATGTTTTTTACTTTAGCGCCACATGATACATGTGTAACAATGGTTGTTAGGATTCAAGTGTGAATATAATGCATATTATTATATATATTAGTATTAGACTCAAGAATTTTTCCATTAGAAGCTAAGAGACCAACAAGGGGGAAAAAGAGAAAACAAAGAAAGAATTAAGAAATGAAGTCATTCACAGATGCACGCCCATCAATACGTGCCCCAAATTAAGTTCATAAAATGAAACTCAATCATCAATTGTTCGAAAGGTGTTATGCCTAACAAAATAAAAGATTTTAAAAAAGGTACACCAAACTCGCATATACTCTTATAAAAATAATAGTCCTCCAATCCTAAATATAATACTCACTTTATAATAAGACTGAATTTATACTATAAAATGAATATTACATTTAGGTTATATTTAGGACCAGGAGATATAGTAGAATACACCAACTAGCAAGGCTTCCTCTCTCACACTCACACACGCAAACTCTTCATTTTGCAGAAAAGGCACAAATTAAGTAGCACACTCTTCGATTTAAAATTTGCTGTGGATTATTGATTTTTTGGTTTCTTGAGCTTTCTGAGCACTCGACCAGTTGCACCAATCGCCTTCATCGTCTTCTTACATACATTGTGGACCAAGATTGGAATCATAGCTTCGTAATAATCTAACTTTGGAGCTTGTATAGTTGAATTCAATTTCAGATTTTATATGACAGTTATTTGTGTTAAAAATATAAACGCGCACCTGAAACTACAGAAGCTAATTTCTCGTGGCAAAGTGATATATGTAAAATAAAGTTACGGGGCATATAATAGTGTACTTTATCCTCTAATGTTCTTTTATTTTTTTTGGCCTGTGCTTCAATATCATAATTGAAAGCATCCAGATATCATAATTTAAGCATGCATATTCTTTGCTTGCAAAAACAGAAAGGAAAAATGGAAAAGAAAATTATACCCTCTCTAATTAATAACAACTCGTTGGCCAACTTTAAGAGATGAACTAAGAAAAGAACAATATAATCTTGGGTTAGAGGAGAGCCATCAAGAAATACAGGAAAAAGGAAGAAAATAAAAAGGAAACGCCTAGGGAAAGCCTCCTGTTCTTTGCTTTATTACCACGTGATACGGAAGTAACCGTGGTTGTTAGGATTCAAGTGTGAATATGATGGATTTACTACCATATAACCAGTACTAGCCTCATAAAAAATTTTCCATTAGAAGGCCCAACAAGAAAATGAAGTCAAGTCCAGAAACCAAACAAGAAACGGCGTCATTCACATGTGCGTTTTGATGGGCCTGTCTAGACGCAAGTTCATGAATGAGTCCAATACATGTTGGCAAAAAAAACAAGAAGAAGAATGAGTCCCATATGTAACCCAAATTAAGTTCATAAAACGAAATTACTCATTTATCAGTTATCTAAAAGGTGTTACCTAAAACTAACAAGGATTAGGTCTAGCAGTTCTCCACAACATGTAAACTAATGTTTAAATCTCCATTGGGAAAAATATCTGTATTTAGTACTCGATATTATCTTGAATAGAAGGTACTTGATAGATATACCAAAATAATTATACCTACAAAAAGAAAAATGTTACTTGATGAAAATAAAAATTAAAAATTAAAATAGAATAGACCAACTAGTTAGGCTTCCTCACACACGCACACAAACTTCTTTATTGAGCAGAAGAGCACAAATTAACACACTCTTCTATTTAAAATTTGCTCTAGGTACTGTTCGATTATTGGCTTTTTGGCTTCTTGAACCTTCTGAGCACTCGACAAGTTGCATCAATAGCCTTCATCAACGGGAAGCACTATCCACCCAAATTATATACACACGCATACATGATCCCATTTCTAGAGTTGTGAGAAGCAATAATGAAATAATGGAATTATGAAAGTAAAATAAGTAAATTATTAAGAGATAATTACAATGAGGTCTTAAAAAAAAAAATACTAACAAGTCCTAATAACAATTAAGCAATTATTACTTACTACCTTACAACTTGTCATTGTAAGCTGTTTTGTAAATTATAGCTTTATATAGCCATCAGGCTTGTACACGTGTTACGACACTAAGTAATCTGACGGTTACAACTGAAACAACTTGATTCAAGTATGACAGCTAATATATTATTTCTAAGATCTTCCCTCAATTTGAACTACCCCTTTAAGCTACTTGATATATCATTTGAATTATGTCATATACATAGATATCTTTTAAAATCTAGGAATGTGCTTTGAGATAGAGCCTTCGTCATCTCGTCTGCAACTTGATCTTGACTAGGAATATGCTGCACAAGAAATTCTCACTTTATTGCTTTCTCCCTTAGAAAATGAAGATCCAACTCAATGTGTTTTGTCCGGGCGTGCATGATTGGATTTGTTGTTATCATTACAGTACTGAGATTATCACACAACACTTGCGCAAGTCTAGAAAGTACAACATGTAACTCTTGAAGTAGAGACTTTATCCATAATACTTCAGTAACAGTGGAGGCCATACTTCTATATTCGGCCTCTGTACTTGATCGTGCCACGGTAGCCTGCTTCTTAGATGACCAGGCAACTAGATTAGTACCAAAATAGATACAAAACCCTATAGTACTGCGTCTATCATTACAATCAGAGGCCCAGTCAGCATCATAATATGCTGTAATCGCTCGACTGGTGCAAGGTCGAAGAACTATGCCATGAGTTAATGTTCCTGCTAGATACCGTAGGATACGTTTCACTGCTTTCCAATGGCTGATGAGTGGATTCTGCATAAACTGGCACACCTTGTTGACTGCAAAACTTACTTATGGTCTAGTGATCGTTGCATACTAAAGAGCTCCTACAATAGATTGATAGAGCTATGGCTTAATCATAACATCCGATCCATGTTTGAAAAGCTTGAGACCCACTGTCATAGGAGTAACTACTCCTTTGGCATTGACCATACTAGCTCGAGACAGAATATCTTTAAAGTACTTGGTCTGAACTGAGTGAAGAGAGCCATCTTTGTACCTCTTAACTTCTATACTCAAAAAATAACTCAACGGGCCAAGATCCTTCAGTGAGAACTCACGATCCAAATTAGCAATAAGAGTCATAATATTGGTCTGAGAATAACTAGTGATAATAATGTTATCAACATAGGCCAGAACAAATAGTAATTCACTGGAAGTAGAGCGAATGAAAAGCGACGGATCACATCTACTAGCTTCAAAACCATATTTCATAAGAGCACTACCAAGCCTTTCAAACCAAGCCCTTAGAGCTTGTTTAAGACCATAAAGAGCCTTATCTAACTTGCAAACCAAAGTTTTATCTCTGCTTTCAAAGCCTAGAGGCTGAACCATATATGCTTCCTCCTTCAGATAGCCATTTAAGAATGCATTATTCGCATCAATTTGATAAATACGCCAATTTTGAGACAATGCAATGCTTAACACTATACAAATAGTGACAAGCCAAATAACTAGACTAAGGTTTTCATGAAAGTCATACCCTTCTTGCTAATGAAATCCTTTAGGAACCAGACGTGCTTTATACCTGGGAGAAGAATTGACAGGATTGAATTTGGTTCTAAAGACCTATTTACGTCCTATAGCTTGTCGCCCAGCAGCTAAAGGTACAAGTGACCAAGTCTTATTTCTTTGTAGAGCAGTAGACTCTTCTTCCATTGCTATTCGCCAATGGGATGATTGACGGGCAGTAGAAATAGAATCTGGTTTAGAAGTAACAGTAGCAACAAAAACTCTGGGTTTTAAGTTTCTAGTTTTTGATCGCGTAATCATGGGATAAGAAGATTTATGAGGTGGAGAAGGAGAAGACTGGGAAGAAGAAGATGGTGAGGAGGGAGAATGAGATAGAGGTTGGGAAGGACTAGGACCAGGAAAAGGTGGAGGTAATGTGGAGGCTGAAGATTGAGGTGTAGTAAAGGTTGGTGAAGGTTGAGGTTGAGGTGAAGACTGTTGTGAAAGAGTATGACGTGAAGTTAAGGGTGGAGAGGTAGGTAAGTATATAGGAATAGTGCATGGTGCAACTGAAGTAAAGGTAGTAGGTGAAGTAACAATAGATTTGGTATTGGTGAGAAAAAGACTAGGGTAGGGAAAGGAGGTTTCATTAAAAACAACATCCCAAGCAATATAAATTCTGCTAGAAGATGATAGGCACTTGTAGTCTTTATGTGTAGAACTAGGTCCAAGGTAAACACATTCAAAAGACTTATAGTCAAACTTGTGAAGATTATATGGTTGGGTTAATAGAAAACAAGAGCAACCAAAGGCTCTAAGTCTACTATAATTAGGTGCCCTGGAATATAAAGTTTCATGGGACGTTTTCCCTTGAAGAACCGAAGAGGGAAGAATGTTGATAAGAGATACTGTCATTCCAAAAGCATCATACTAGTAAGAGAGAGGCAGAGAAGCTTGAGCCAGTAGTGTAAGACCAACTTCAGTAATATGTCGGTGTTTGCGGTTAGCGACACCATTTTGCTCATAAACATGAGGATAGCTTTGTATGGATTGTGCCACGATGAGCAAGAAATTTGGTGAACCGACGATATTCACCACCACCATCTAATTGAAAAATCTTAATGGTAGTATTAAATTGAGTTGAAACAAAGGCAACAAATTGCTGAAACACAACAAAAGCATTTGATTTAAGTTTCAGAGGATAGATCCATATATATCTGGTTTGAGCATCAGTAAAATGAATATCGTAGAGATAACCATCATAAGTTTTAACAGGGGAAGGTCCCCAAATATTATAATATATCATATGAAAAGGTGCAGCATACACAGTATCGGAATAGAGAAAGGGTTGCTTATGTGATTTCCCAAGTATGTAAGCTTTACAGGAATCAGAAGTAGCAGTCTTATTGAGAGGCACTTTACAGTTCTTCATAACAGAGGAAACAACAAAGGAGGACGGATGTCCAAGTCTACTGTGCCAAAGCAGAAAGGAATTACAAGAAGTGTCTATAGAACATCTTGTATTTGAAACTACAACAGAGAAACAAGCTTCAGAATGGGGCTTGAACTTGAGGTCCAACACAGGGTACATCCCATTTCTAACATCGCACTGATAGAGAATTGGCTTAGTTTTGGGATCCCTGACGCGGCACTATCGTTCATCAAATTCAACTGAGACTTTGTTATCATAACAAAACTTGCAGACAGAAATTAAATTCTTAATGATTCGTGGCAGATGAAGAATGTTATTTAGTTTAAGAGAAGGAGAAGTATTGGAAATAACAGAGGTAGTATTAAACTAAGTTGAAACAAAGGCAACAAATTGCTGAAACACAACAAAAGCATCTGATTCAAGTTTCAGAGGATAGATCCATGTATATCTAGTTCGAGCATTAGTAAAAATATTCGTAGAGATAACCATCACGAGTTTTAACAGGGGAAGGTCCCCAAATATCAAAATATATCATATCAAAAGGTGCAGCATACACAGTATCAGAATAAAGAAAGGGTTGCTTATATGATTTCCCAAGTATACAAGCTTTACAGAAATCAAAAGTAGCAGTTTTATTGAGAGGCACTTTACAGTTCTTCATAACAGAGGAAACAACAAAGGAGGACGGATGTCCAAGTCTATTGTGCCAAAACAGAAAGGAATTACAAGAAGTGTCTATAGAACAGCTTGTATTTGAAACTACAACAAAGAAACAAGCTTCAGAATGAGGCTTGAACTTAAGGTCCAACGCAGGGTACATCCCATTTCTGACATAGCACTGGTAGAGAATTCGCTTAGCTTTGGGATCCCTTGACGCGGCACTGTCGTTCATCAAATTCAACTGAGTCTTTGTTATCATAACAAAACTTATAGACAGAAATTAAATTCTTACTGATTCGTGGCAGATGAAGAATGTTATTCAGTTTAAGAGAAGGAGAAGTATTGGAAATAACAGAGGTGCCAACAGATTTGATAGCCAAACCTGCACCATCACCAACATGGACTTGCTCCGCTCTATTATGCTTTGAAGATTCAGCTAGAGAAGTCGGATCATGAGTAAGATGACTCGTTGCTCTAGAGTCAAAATACCAAGACGGATCAGCAACAATGTCAGAAGTAGCAATGAGTGCAGACTAATTAGCGGGTACCGCGGAAGAATAGGAATCAGAAATAGAAAGACCTTGGAAAGATTCATCAAACATGTACCAGCACGAAGAAACAATGTGCCCTGTCTTGCTACAAAGCTGACATATCACCTTTGACTTAGTAGAGTTGTTGTTATTACCACAACTACCATGCCTTCCTCCTCCTTAGCCATGATTACGATTGCCACAACTTTGTTAAGGAGCATGGTTTTGAGCAATATTTACCATAATAGGGGAGACCGCCAGTACAGATCGGCAATTCTTTTCAATACGAGCCTCTTGTGCCATGAGTAGCGCTTTGATTTCAGCTACAATGTAGGGCTTAAGCCTGGTGGAGATTGAAATTATGAAAGGATCATAATCCTCAAAGAGACCATCAAAGATGAACTCCAATTGATCAGAAAGAGACACCGGCGAGTCGATTGCAGCTAGAGCATCAACGCTGGCCTTAACCTTTAAGAGATATTCATTCATAGACGAATTCTCTTTCTTCATGTTCTTCAGGGTCATTTTGAGCTGCTTCACTTTAGCTTTGGTTTGTGAAGCAAAGAAGACGCTGATTTTGTCCCAAATCTGAGTAGTAGTCTCACATCCAATAGTATGAGTAAGGACCGAATCGGACATGGAAGAAAGTAGCCAGGACATGAGAAGTTGATCCCGATGCATCGACCTTGTATATTCAGAGGTAAATGCAACACGCTAATCATCATGAAGTTCAAATTGCTCAGGCGGAGCAATTGATGAATCAAGAAATAATTCAAGAGCATATCCTTTCACCGCACTAAGAACTTGTTGCCGCCAGATGAGGAAGTTGGAATCATCAAGCTTGACAAAAATGGAATGAGAGAAGGCAACGACTGAATCAGAGGAAGAAATGATTGGAAGCGAAGACGAGGAAGCCATGGATCGTTCTATGGCTTTGCATACCATATAAAGAATCTGAATGTGATATATTATTAATGTGTAAATTACAGCTTTATATAGCCATCAGGCTTGTACATGTGTTACTATGGTAAGTAATCTAACGGTTACAACTGAAACAACTTGATTCAAGTATGACAGCTAATATATTATTTCTAACATTAAGACTTTTAGTAATTATTAATAAGAGAGGGTACAATGGCTAATGAGTCTGGTGAGGGATGATTCCATAGGGTAGTTGCTCCGAAAAGCTTGGGGCAAGCTAGCAAGAAGCTCGAGACAAGTGAATTTCCTTTCATTAAGCTCCATAACCAGGCTTCTGCCGTTCATTTTGCTAATTATCCAAAGAGCTACATCTGCATTCACATGTCATCAATATAATCAAACATGTCTTAGACCTGAAGGACATCAAGCTGAACATAATATTTATATCTATATATAAATATAGTGTAATAAGCAATGTGATCTCTAAATTGAAGAACAGACCAAAATGTTGGCTATTAATATTAGTAAAATACTGAAAATGACCTCTGCATCTGATCTAAGTGATTTATGTTGAGTTTTGTGAAAATACTATACTTTGTCCTCTAATGTTCTTTTTATTTTTATTTTTTTGCCTGCGTTTTAATGTCGTAATGGAAAGCATATTATTCTTTGCTCACAAAAATAGAAAGCAAAAACTGTCGTTGGCCCAAAAAAAATAAAAAGCAAAGAAAGAAAGAAAGAAGGTAAAAACTGTAAAGAAAATCATACTGTCTCAGATAACATCTCATTGGACAACTCTTAAGAGATGTACTATGAAAGGAACAATATATCGAGCATTTGCGTAGCAGCAGCAGCAGCAGCAGCAATAACAACAACAACAATAATTTTCCATTAGAACTTAAAAGAGATCGATCAAGGAAATAGAGGTTTATTACTTAATTCCTGTAGTCTTGCTATATAGCGGTTTGAGTGATAAAACCAAGGAAAATATTTTCATATTACTGGACACCGATTGATATTTGTAAAGCATTGCAAATAAACTACGGACACAAGGGTGGCTTTTTTCTTAATGGTTCCTGTTTGGGATTAAAGAAAGTAACAGTATTGTGAAAGAATGCTGCATTAACATATTTATTCTTAGCTTACAAAAATAAAAAGGTTAAAAAGGAAGAAATTGAAAAGAAAATGCCTTCTGTTGTTTACTTTAGCACCACATTATTCAGATGTATCGAGGGTTATTAGGATTCCAGTGTGAGTATAATTAATGAATGTTTTATTATATAATCAGCATTAAAAGGGACCAACAAGGAAACGAGGGTTCATTCACAGATGCATGTTGATAGGCTTGCCAAGACCCAAGTTCGTTAATGAGTCCAACACGTGCCCCAAATTAACCTAATCAAATGAAACTTAGTTACCAAATATTTAATTTATTTACTGACCTTTCAAAGGCGTTACTTCAAAGAAATATTTTTTTCATGTTTAATATAAGACCTAATTAAAGAGTTGATATTAATCTTAACTGTAAGAAGTATTTCATATAAGTATTAACCTTTTTTAGATTAACCTTCTTGATCTTCCCTCGACAATAATTAAGTAGAAGAGGAAGAAAAGAAATTAAAAATATGCCTAGAATATTTTATAAAAAAATATATATATCATATTAACTAATTCAATTCAAATTAATTAATTAAGCTTGAGTCAAATTCTTGTTAACCGGAGGCGCAGGAACTAGATGTTGGGCTTTAAGTGGCCCACATGGTTTATCGCCACTGGTATCTGAGGGCCTATTCTAGTTCCACAGAAAATATTACTGCTCCTCGTATTAAATTTATAGGGTTTGGGATCGAAAATACTACAGAAACATATATTGAAGCCTTTTATTTTGATTTTTAGAAACTTCTTCCTTCTTCTTTATCTCGTTGTCTCTTACTATATTTCAGTTGAAGTTAGGAAGTCCTAAAAAATCTAATACTCTCTGTCTCTTAGCCTTTTTCTAATGAAGTTAAGAGCATAATATGAAATTTTTTTGACAATTCCAAATTTACCTTTAATCTTTCGTACATACTGATGCGATGTGTATTATAAATAATTAAAGATATAATAACAAAAACGTGAAAATGTTATATTGAGTTCTTAAAGAGACATGTAAAAGTAAAAATGTTGTTTCAAAGGGAATCATATTTTGAAGCGAAGGGAATTCAAAATGAGTAATGCTGTTAATATTTGAGATGAATAGAGATAGCATATAAGGGGATTAGGAGAATTATGTTATAAAAGAGGTTGGATAAAATTCTTCGTCGACCAACACAACCCTCTTCCTTTATTTGAATTTAGAATTGGCTATAAATTATAAGCATGTTAGGAGAATGTAATGATCAAAAGGAATCTTATATTGTCGGTTATAATTTTCTTGTGTTCTGGACAATATACTTAAATTCAAATTCGCTCACATTATATAAGAATAACGGAACAGACCACACCAACATGGCTTCCTATATAAGAACAACACAACTCAACAACAAACCAGCTCCTCTCCCTCTCTCCCTCTCTCTCTCTCTCTCTCTCTCACACACACACACACACACATTCATCAAACACCCACAATTCCATTTATCTTGCAGAAAAACTTAATAATTAACAAACCTTTGATTTGAAATTTTCACCAATTACTTTATTCATCGCTTACGGATACTTTGCTCTTTGATTCCTTCTGCAGCAACAATGTTTGACGGCTCTATTAATTGGAATCACCTTCATGATCTTCTTGTGTACCTTGCAGATGAGGCTTGGAGGCATCATATAAAGTGGGAATTCGATCAATCCAAATATGGTCACAGGAAAGAACGCAGCACTATAAACCAAAGTCGAAGTCCATTGCTTCCATTGCAACCTAATAGTCAGCAAAATGGTTGCACTAAAAGCAAGCATTGTGGTGGTGAGCGAGCAAAACAGAAAAGCGAACCCTATATTTAGTTTATGTGGCAGATACCTCTTAAAATCCCAGAGCTCAAACGGCGACGTGAGGATGGAAAGAGACATCACCACGGAAGCCAAGGAGAAGGCAAGTGCCACGATGTCCATGACGGTGAAGAAAATGAACACCGACGATCTGAGGTACACCGGAGTGCCGCCCTCACTCCCTCCCGGGATGGTGTAGGCCGCCGCAAAACAACCGTGGCCACGAGCACCGACAGGTGGAGCAGGACTCGGCATTTTGCTTGATCCATGCTTGTGCGTCTGCAAGCATATTATCGTGCTCTGTGTCCAGAACATCCCCCGCTGTAAGCCTCCTATAGTCACAATGCAAGTGCAGATAACTGGGAACAACTTCTTCCACTCTCTGCGGAAGCCAACAAAATATTGGCCTTCTTAAATATGAATACCATTAATATATATCAGTGAAGATAACATGAAGAAGAGCTAGTTATATAGTTTAATTTGTTTGCTTACTTTGTACCATTTTAGCTCTGCCTGAAGTTGGAAAGCTGCACCAGCAAGGCTAGCTACTCTGTAATAATCCATTCTAGCAACTTGATGCAAAACTGTATGATTCTCCCTAGATATTCGATTGACCAATGTGCCAAAAGATGGATTTTTCTTGAGAAGTTTGAAGATTTCTAGCTGACGATGCTTGACGGCCATGTGGAGTATGTTTTGTTCATCTTCACTTACATGATTTACAGACTCTGGATGCTCTTCAAGGAACAGTTGAACGATTTCTATAATCCCATTGCTCGCAGCAACCAGCAATGGAGTGTGATTACCATAATGGTGTTTCTTTTCTGCTTGTTTGTTTGGATCTTGGTCGTCGTCGTCGTCATCAAGATCCTGTTTGTCTTGCCTCTTCTCTTCCTTGCGTTCCACTTGTTTCTTCCTTTTTGCGACGTTGTAAACAACAGATAGCAAAACGACCAGTGTTTTCTTAATATGATTGTAAGAGATCTGCCACGAGTAATCATGCTTAACCAGAAACTTGGCCAGACGCTCTGCTAACTGATGATGCTTCTTTCTTCTCCAGAGGAAATCAATCCCCACGAACACTGTTTGTTATATTATTTCATTAAATTTCAGTGTTGTGATCAAGGTGGGGGTGTTTTGATTCGTAAACAATGTTCTTATTACCTTTAGCTAGATGTTTCCAAACTGCATAGTTGATCCTCGAAAGACCTGAATATCAGCTAAATATTATGAGAGCCCTTGGACGTGATAATTAACGTTTTTGTAACAACAGGCTAAGGTACCTGAAGCTGGTGGCTTGGCATCATTTTGTTGTCCAGTTTCTAAGTCTGAGGAAGGCCTAAGCAACTCGAAGCTATCGTAAACTTCAATCTCGTATATTTCATCCGGAAGCGCTATATATATATATATTATATATCATCCAAATTACGAGTTTACATTCATTTGCATTCACACAGAGAAGAGAGAGAGAGAGGTAGGGAGAGAGAAAGTACAGTTATAGATGAGATTGGCAAGGGATCCCAGAGGGTAGTGGCTCCGAAAAGCAGTGGGCATTCTGGCGAGAAGCTGAAGACAAGTCAGCCCACTTTGATTCCTCTCCAGCAGCAGACTGCTCACATCCATTGTCATTATTATCCAAAGAGTTAAATCTGCACCCACACGTATATATCAACACACACACACACCCACACACACACAGCCGTCATCACATATATTTTGCAAAGACTAGTTTAGGGGCGTGAAACTTTTTCATTGACTGAGACCGAGAGAGGTGATAGGTTCATTCCCGTTTGCAATAACCAAGAGAGTCGACATTCTTTTGGCGGGAAAAACGCTCATGATAACCTTATGATCATGCAAAACGGAAAAAAGTCTCGACACTCTGATCCTTTATCCTAGAGGCACAATGCTTTTACTTTAATCATGAAAATAAAATTATAAAATTACACAAGTTAAAAACATACTACCTTCTTGACATAAGATCTATTTTGTATAGTATAATTTACTGGTAGATTTTATATTTAAGACTGGAGGTGATATGTAGTAAAACAATGAAACTGTAAATAAAACAAATCTGACCTACAACCCAAAAAAAATTAACTTTTTTTTTTTTGGCTTCGTCTGTGGAAAAATGGGAGATAGAGCGATGTATGGCAGATGATTCAAATTAAAATGATTCAACCAACACAACAAACAAATCAAGATATACAGAGTACGACATCAGCCATCTCCGCCACCCTGCAAACCAAAGCGATTTCGTGAAGGAGAGTGTTGCCTTCACAGGTCTTCCTCGTGAAAGCATGCCAGCGTTCTTGTGCTGAAAGCATCTCCAGCAAATCCTGAAGGAGTTTGGGGCTATCAGAGCGAGTTGCAACATTAATGGCGGTGTTCTTGAACAAGTCGAAATCCTCAAGCAAATCTTTCTTATCTTCTTCAAAGATTTCCTTGAAGGCTCTCCAATCTTCAGACCTAGAAGCTCTCTGAGCTCTTTTTATTCTCTCGCTGAACAGAGAAGCCTCTCCCTCTATCTTAATTTCACCACTCGTCTCTCCCATTTTCCTCTCACGAACGCACTCCTGTTTGTGCTCAATGTCTGTCTGAACTTCTTTCTACATATAGACACACACACAGTTGGCGGGAAGCTTTCTAATCATTAGGCAGTATACAAGTATTTTTTATGTCAAAAAAAAAAAGAAGTGAAAATCGAATATTAGTGTGATATATATGGTGATGAATGATAATAGCTTTTTAATAGTGATGCATAATAATAGCTTTTTAGAATTAGAACCTAGCACTATTCGAAATTGAGCTACGTCATAATTAATATATATGTATGTATGTATATATATAACAGTACAATCTACCACACGATCAGCATCGGGATTCCACCAGCATAAAATTATTATTGTATTAATTTTTATATATTGTCGTGTAATTTAACTTTTATTTTAAACATCAGGATGTCTTGGTCTAATTAAAATTTTCTTTTGAAAAAAATGTATAATCGCACTTTTAACTATGGTGCAGTTCAAATTTAAATCTGTATGAAATTACTTGTGCGTGTTAAAAATATAAATAAATTAACGGTGCCTATGGTCAGAAATATAGATTGCATGGTAAAGACTTGAAGTCAAAAATGACCCCCGGACACACAAATAAAGACTTTGCTAATAATCACTATTTGTTGGGACTTTAATGTTCGATATATTTTGAGATTTATGGAATAGTCAGTCTCATATAGAAGTGTGTCCGGCGTCCATTGTTCTTTTTATTTTTTCTTTTCTTTTTAACGGGCTGTAATATTCTAAAAGCATATGTGCTGCGATATATATTCTTTGTTGCTTGCAGAAAATCAAAAGAAAGGTGAAAAATTGAAAAGAAAATGCCTTTTATATATATATATATATATATATATTTTACTTTGGTACCACGTAATACACGTGCATCAGTGGCTGTTAGAATCCAAGTGTGAACAAAAATGAATGTTAGAATCGGTATTAGTATTGTATAAGACGTTAGCTAGAAGAAAATTATGATTTAAAATATAAAATGTTGTTGGAATAATTAATATGATTTTTCACTTTCACCACTATTAAATACTCCACTGGTCCTATTTATAGGACAGAGAGAGAAGCTATTTTTTAGTCCTATTTATAGGGCACTAATAGAAATTTTTTATATGAATGTATAATTTTACCTCTCATTTATTATTATGTTGACTTTGTTTATATGAGGTATAATGTATATTAAATAGGGATAAAGTTAGAAATTTATTAAATTTTAAATGAGAGTTAATAAAATTTAAAGTTTTTTTTAGTCTGTATGAAACATATTGGAAGTGCCTTATAAAGTATAAGAGAGAGAGAGGAGTGAGATGAAAAATAATAAATCAAGAGACGTTACTTAAGTTTTCTCACAAATCAAGAGATGTTACTTAAGTTATTAAATGTGTTTTAAATTGATAGAAAATACCTATTTTGCCCTTATTAAAAAACATGATACGAAAATTCTCTCATCTCTCCTGCATTTAATAAATACCCTCTCTCCTCCTTATAAAAAGAGGTAAAAGTGAAAACTATCATTAATTATGTTGCAAAGGACTTCCAAGAGATCATGACAAAGGTTTTTTTCCCCGGGCTAGCCGAGACCCGAGCTGATTGTTCAGTTGTCCCCCAATCACAAATTAAGTCTATGAAAGGCTTAATAAAATTTTTGCCCCATGAATTTCAAACCATAGATTTTGAAAAAATGACCAGTGTTTTCTTAATATGATTGTAAGAGATCTGCCACAAGTAATCATGCTTAACCAGAAACTTGGCCAGACGCTCTGCTAACTGATGATGCTTCTTTCTTTTCCAGGGGGAATCAATCCCCACGAACACTGTTTGTTATATTATTTCATTATATTTCAGTGTTGTGATCTTGGTGTGGGTGTTTTGACTCGTAAACAATATTCTTATTACCTTTAGCTAGATGATTCCAAACTGCATAGTTGATCCTTGGAAGACCTGAATGTCAGCTAAATATTATGAGAGCCCTTGGACGTGGTAATTAACGTTGCTGTAACAAGCTACGGTATAAAGCTGGTGGCTTGGCATCATTTTGTTGTTCAGTTTCCAATTCTGAGGAAGGCCTAAGCAACTCGAAGCCATCGTAACCTTCCATCTCGTACCTTTCATTCGGAAGCGCTATAGTGGGCATTCTGGCGAGAAGCTGAAGACAAGTCAGCCCACTTTTATTCCTCGCCAGCAGCAGACTGCTCACATCCGTTCTCATGATTATCCAAAGAGTTACATCTGCACCCACACATATATATCAACATATATATATAGCCGTCATCACATATATTTTGGAAAGACTAGTTCAGTGGCATGAAACTTTTTCATTGAGACTGAGAGGTGACATGTTCAATCCCGTTTATAATCTTATGTCATCTTTACTTATCTTTTTAACTATAAATAAAACAAAGAGAAAGACTAGGCGTAGCTACTTTAGCCTTATACATACACATTTATCACGTATGCACCCACACACACATCAACGTATCCGAGCCATTCTTTTGCGTAGGAATTAGGATATTAAAAGGATCTTACTGCAGGACAAGCAATAAGGCTCTCCCATGTAAGTAGTGCACTAGGGAATCTATACTTTAATCCCCAATAATTCTGTTTATATTTGACACTTTAACATTTGATAACACTTAAGTTTTCTCACAAATCAAAAGATGTTAGTTAAGTTATTAAATGTGTTTTAAATTGATAAAAATGACCTATTTTGTTCTTATGAAAGAATATGATACGAAAATTCTCTCATCTCTCCTGCATTTAATTAAATACCCTCTCTCCTCCTTATAATGAGAGGTAAAAGTGAAAAACTATCATTAATTATCTTATAAAAGACTTACAAGAGATCATGATAAAGGGTTTTTTTCCCTGGGCCAGCCGAGACCCAAGCTGACTGTTCAGTTGCCCCCAAATCACAAAATAAGTTTATGAAAGGCTTAATATAATTTTTGGTTCATAAATTTCCAACCATAGATTTTGGTCCTTCAGATGGTCCAAGTTTTTATTGAATTATAGAGACTTGAGGGAGCAAAACTTATAGTTTGAAATTTGAAAGACCAAAATTAAAATGAGAGTAAGCTTAAGGAATCAAAAATAAGAAATCAATTAATTATGCATCGAAAATTTCAAGTGTGATTTTTTAGATGAGCACTGAACTTTAGAAAACCGAATCATGCAGGTATGCTCCCAGGATTTATGAAACTAAATTAGGTCAATAAATCTGTACTTATCTTAATAACGTACATCTCAACATTTGATATCACCAACCATATGTAGAAATTTGGAAGTAGACATGCCTGTAGATATTAAAATTACTATTATTTATGAATTGAGAAAAATTAAACACGCACAAGACCAGACACAGGAGAATGAGACAATCACAAGAAATCGTATCTTATTCATCCTTAGTTTAAAAAGAAACACTACAACAAGAACTTTTCAAAAGTCGCAAATGCTAGAGAAATATAACACACCACACCAACCAAATCATGGGCTTCCACGTACAAACACTACCTACTACAAACTCCTTTATTTAGCAGAAAACGACAAATTAGCAGATCAATTAAAAATTCGAACTAATTTCTGTTCTTCGCTCATTGGTACTACGCTATCTTAAGCCCTTCTGCTTGATCGACCAATTGAAATCTTCTTCTTACATAAGTTGGGGAACAGCTTGGAGAACATAATCGGAATCTTCTTGTAAAGTGGGAATTCAATCAAGGCAAATACGGTGACAGGAAAGAGCGCAGCACTGTACACCAAGGTCGAAGTCCAGTTCTTCCATTGCAACCTGATTGTGATCAAAATGGTCGCACTAAAAGCAAGCATCGTGGTGGTCAGCGACACGAACAGAAAAGCAAACCCTATGCTCAGTTTCCGTGGCAGGGACCTGTGGAAATCCCACAGCTCAAACGGCGCATTGAGGATGGAAAGAAACATCACCACCGAAGCCAAGGAGAAGGCAAGGGCCACGATGTCCATGATGGTGAAGAATATGAACACCGGAGCTCTGGAGAGCAGCGCGGAGCCACCCTCGGTCCCGCCCGGTATGGTGTAGGCCGCCGCGAAGACCACCGTGGCCACAAGGACTGCCACCGTGGAGCAAGACTGAGAGGTATCTTTTATCCATTGTTGGGCGTCTGCAAGCATCTGATCGTGCTCTATGTCCAGAAGATCTCCTGCTGTTAGTAGATGTCTGTCACAATGCATGTGAAGGTGGGATGGAACAATCTTTTCCACTCGCTGCACATCAGACACAAGATCGAATATTGGTATCGTTTAACATAGCTCTAATATTAATCATATTTCATGAGCTTAATGGCCTATACTTACTTTATACCAATCCAGCTCTTCTTGGAGTTGGAATGCTGCGCCAGGTAGGGGTGATCCCCTGTAATAATCCATCCTCGCAACTTGGTGCAATGCCGTACGATTACTTTGAGTAACTCGAGAAGCCAGTGAGGGAAGCTCTGGTTGATCCTGTAGCCATTTGAAGATTTCTCTTTGACGGTGCTTGACCGCTATGTGCAGTATGTTTTGGCCACTTTCACTGAAGTGATTTATAGACTCCGGATGTTCTTTAAGGTACAAGTGTATGATTTCTATAATCCCATTGCTAGCTGCTATCAGCAATGGCGAGTGATCTTTATAGTGTTCCAGTTTGTCCTTCTCCTCTTCTTCTCTTTCTTCCATAACTTCTTTCTTTTCCTTCCATTTCAATTGCTGTTTCCTTTTCGCGACATTGTGTAGAACTGGGGGAAGCTTGACCACTGTCCTATCGTGAGGTTGGTTATAATAAGAACTCTGCCACGAGTAGTCGCGCCTCACAAGAACCTGGGCCACACGTTCTGCTAATTGATGTTTCTTCTTTATTTCCCAGATCGACTCAATCCACTCGAATACTGCTCGCTCATTTTGGTCAAGCATGCATATAATTAATGATCCATATTAGTATATATTCGAATATTCAAACTATTAATAATTTAATTGACTCAGTATATATTTGTGTGGGGATTATATGTTCAATGATGGTGGCACCTTCAGCTAGATATTTCCAAACTGCGTAATTGGCCCTTGAAAGATGACCTGCAAGTCATCATCAGTTAAGTATTAATTTCTCAGACAATGCATACGAAGTGTTTGATATTTTTCAAACAGAAAGTACCTGGAGGTGGTGGCCTGGCATCATGCTGTCCGCCAGTTTCTAAGTCTCCCCTAAGCAACTGATCAAAGCTGTTGCAACCTTCAATGTCGTATCCTTCATCGGGAAGCACTAAATGGTCCAAATTACAAGTTTTATATACGGAGAAGCAAAGAGAGTTGGGTGTGAGAACTAATGCAGTTATGTGACAACTAAAAAACAAAAGCACTAGCTAGATGTAAAGAGAGAATGTACATCTATAGACGAGTTTGGTGGTGAATTCCTGGGGATCATAACGACTCTGAAAAGAACCAGGCATTCTGGCAAGAAGCTGAAGGCAAGTCAGATCATTTTTATTCTGCTTCCCAGCTAGATCATTATTCTTGTCCATTTTCATGATTATCCAGAGAGCTACATCTGCACAAACATATTCAACATAATCAAACATTAACGTTTGTTTGGTAAACCTATGATCATTTTTTTTTTTTAAAAAAAAAGAAGTTCTTCTATACTTTGCGACATAAAGCTCTTCTACAGCAAACAGAACACTTAAAATTCCAAAATCAAGTCTAGAAAAATTTCAATTTTCTTTTCTTAAATCATAATTATATAAATGCGTATGAAAATAAATAATTTGACTTAAGCATAAGAATTACTAAAGGACAATTTTATGACCACCGAGCACTTGGATCAATTAGTAGGAGTTATTTTAACTTAACCAAAGGTCATGGTTTCAATCATTTGGGATTGTTGCCCATATGGGTCCTATCATGGCCTAATTCGAATTTGTCTGGTTTGTAACTTTTTTAAGGGGATTGACTTGAATATTGAGTGCATAAGGCAAAAAAAAGAAAAGAAAATGGATTATTTGACGAAAAATATAACAAATACATGAGATAAACAATATAAATTCTACTTAAAAAGATAAAAACTCAATATAAATAGTACTAATAGTACATAACAATCCATATTCCACTATACGAAAAATAAAATAATAAAAAATGGTTTCCAATCAAATCTCGATCCTGAGAGACTTACCAAAGGATTGCGCGTTCAAACTAGCATGTAGAATGGTCTCTTTAGGGCTTTCTTGATGAATTTCCAGGTTAGTCTGAGGCTGATCTTCTGCACGCTTGACCAAATGGGTTAGCATCTTGAGGTTACCGAACTTAGCAGCTTTGAACACTGGCGTTTCACCTTTTAAGTTTTTCCACTCCAACAATGGCCTTCTCTTCTCCTCCTCTTGCTCCTTCTTCTCCCTTGATGATAGCTCTGCCATCTCCGCCTTCTCCTCCACTACCAGCTCCGGCGGCAAAGGAGTGGTCTTTTCGAAATCAAGTACGATGTCGGCCATCTCCACCATCTTGCAAGCCTCGGCGATTATATGGAGAAGGGTGTTGCCTTGACGGTTCTTCTTTCTCACGGCGCGCCACCTTTCTTCTTCAGATAGCTTTCCCAGCAACCCCTTCAACAGTTCTGGATTATCAGAGCGAGCTGCCATGTTAATGGCGGTGTTCCCCAACAAGTCAAGATTCTCTAGCAACTCTGTCTTATTATCAGCAAAGATTTCCTTGAACTTGTCCCATTCTTTGGACCTGTAAGCTCTTTGAGCTTCTCTCATTGTTTCGCTGAACATATCTCCCCCTATCATAATCTCACTATTCTTCTTTCCCATTTTCCTCTCACGAGCACACTCCTGCTTGTGCTCAATGTCTGTATGAACTTCTTTATATATACGCTCACTCGCAGTAGTGACTAACAAGCTTTTTTACTGGGTCCTTAGTATAATATAAGACTAGGTCTTATATATATTAAGAATCGACGGTAATGCCTATATGTAATTTTGTGTAATAAAAATGAAAATCGAATTACAAAGTGATGAATAATAATAATAGCTTTATAAAATTTAGAACCAACAATTTTAAACTGAGCTACTCAGTAAAATATAAATAACAACAAAATCTAGCACGAGGATCAGTTTCAATTTCACGATTCCCCAGCAGAATAAAATAACTATGGTATTCTTTTTACATATCGTTGTGCAATTTAATTTTTATTTTAAATATCATAATGTGGTAGTCTACTTAAAATTTTCTTCTTTTTTTTTTTTTCATAATTCAAATCACTTTGAACTTGAGACTAATCTTCATTGAGATGGGAGCATTAAGATTAAAGTTCTCCCAATAAATATACTCCCAAAATTAAACTTGTGTTATTCTTTTTATGAGATGACATGAACCCGCCATCATAATGTGGTAGTCTACTTGAAATTTTCTTTTAGAGTAACAGTTTTCTTTCCAATGGTCAATGTTTTTCCTTCTTTTTTTTTTTGCCGATGCCAATGGTCAGTGATACTGGTAATAAAGACTTAAAGTAGTAAAAAAAAAGAAGAAGAAGCCCCACAAACACAAATGAAGGCTTTGCTTATTATTATTTGTTGGGACTTTAATTCCATGTATTTGTGGGGCATGGAATATTTATGGGTCCGTCCTTTAATGTTCTTTTTGACCCCATTTTAACGACTGCTGTAATATTCTAAAATCATGCGCTGCGACATATATTTTTTTGTTTCTGGCTGATCCATAAACCTTAAAAATATAGTCTTAAGTTACTACAAATATTTAAAACTATCCCTAGACTAAATATTCGTGCGTATCTCTCGATATTCAGACTCTCTTTTCACCTCCTTGTACGTCATGATTAATCATAGAATTGGTTGAACGGTGGTCAATCATAAAATCAACCTGTGAAGCAGAAAAAAATAGATATGATGAGAAAAAAACTCAAAATATATTCATAAATAAAATAATACATAAAAAAAGTTAAAACAAAATAGTAAAAACTAGCTTCTCTATTGGAACCATAACCCTACCCCTAATTTGAGAATTTAGAAATTCAGAAGGAAAAAATCATAAATAACAATGTTTTATAATCCGCAAACATAATAAAAAACCATACAAAATTATAAATATGGCATATGGGTTAAAATACATTCAATATCCCGGTGTACTTTTTAAATGTGTTAAGTACTCTAAAATATTTTATAGTATAATATTGTTCTAAGAGTATTAATTTTTTTCAGGTGTAATTGTGTTTTTTAAGGATCAATTTTAACTTCATCTGCCATTAACTCTTCAAAAAATTTGTTAAATGAATACGTAACTAGCACTCTAAGATATTTTATTATTATTTTTATGCTAAATGTACTTAAAAAAACTTCAAAATACTAGATGTATTACAAAATATTTTAGGATGTTAGATATATGTAAATAAATATTAATAAACAAATTGATTTTGCATCAACGCTCCAAAACCTTCTTATCTAAATAAAGTAGTGATTAAACGCCTTTTTGTTTTTTTGACCAGCAGTGATTAATACCCACACACAATTCGTCCCCCTGCATAGTGTTAATCCTTTCTTCTTCTTTTTTGGACTTCGGCGCAAATTTCTCCATCACGTCTTTCACTTTGTTTCGATCCGGGATTTCGGAGCGAGTTATAATTACCCAATCACTACTCTGCCCCGTATCCCACGTGTAATCCGCGTCTTCTTCCGTTTTTTCTGTTCTATGTTATATTTCTTGCAAAATAAAAAAGGATATAAGCAGGTTTTACATTAAAAAAAAAAATCATTTTTTGTCCTGATAATTTAATTTTGGAGAAAACGTATATAAGATCAATGAAATAAGCACTAAATATTTATAAATTCAACTCAATATATACAAAATTAGCACCCAATTAATTAGGAAATATGTACTTATCATGTATAGAAAACGGAAATAAATAAGAAAATATTGGATAGAAAAAGCCTTGTGTTTTTTAATTTTGAAGAGAGACCAACAAAGAATTACTGACAAATGTTCTTGATTTTTTTGTTGTTTTCCCAACGGAACCTGAAGGATCATCGACACCTGAATGCTGATGGGCTGGCCTAGACGCAAGTTCATAGTGTAATATATGCCTCAAATTAAGTCTATTACATAAGAAATCAATTAATTAATTAATACATCTAAATCTTCACCTTTCACCTTTGATTTTATTAAATGGCAAACAGGTAATAATTTTTTTATATGAGTATTGAATATAATTTTAGAAAACCAAATCATGTAGATAATTATAAATATTTTAATCATGTTACATCTCAACGGAGTGGATAACTGGCTCTAAAGATTACGTAAATAAATCTGTACATATCTTAATTACGTGCATCTCAACATTTGATATAACCAACCATATTGTCGTGCAATTTAATTTTTATTTTAAATATCATAATGTGGTAGTCTACTTAAAATTTTTTTTTATATATAACTCAAATCACTTTGAATTTGTCCCATTAAGTCAGGAGTGTTAATATTAAGATTCTTCCATTAAGTACACTCTCAAAATTTAAACTTGCGTTATTCTTTTGATTGGATAAGACTGCTTACCATCAGCTTGGTTACTAGCCTGGTTACCTGAAATTTCTTTTAAAGTAACAGCCATCTTGCAATTGGTCAGTCCTCTTTTTTTTTTTTCCGTTTTTGCCGACGCCAATGGTCAGTGATGCTGGTAATAAAGACGTAAAAAAATGCCACAACCACAAATAAAGGCTTTGGGTCCGTCCTTTAATGTTCTTTTTTGACCCCATTTTAACGACTGCTGTAATATTCTACAATCATGTGCCGCGGCATATATATTTTTTTCTTTCTGGCTGATCTATAAAATATAGTCTTAAGTTACTACAAATATTTAAAACTATCCCCAGACTAATCATAGAATTGGTTGAAGGGTGGCCAATCATAAAATCAACCTGTGAAGAGGGGGGAAAAAAAAGATATGATGGGGAAAAAATCAAAATATATTCATAAATAAAAATAATCCATAAAAAAAGTTAAAACAAAATAGTAAAAACTAGCTTCTCTATTGAACCACATCCCTACCCCTAATTTGAGAATTTAGAAATTCATAATAAAAAAAATCATAAATAACAATGTTTTATAATCCGCAAACATAATAAAAAAAACCATACAAAATTATAAATATGCCATATGGGTTAAAATGCATTATAATCCGCAAACATAATAAAAAACCATACAAAATTATAAATATGCCATATGGGTAAAAATGCATTCAGTATCCCGGTATATTTTTTTAAGTGTATTCAGTACTCTAAAACATTTTGTAGTATAATACTATTATTCTAAGAGTATTAATTTTTTTCTAAATAAAGCAGATACATGTAAATGAACCTTGAGCTTATAAATATTGATGAAAAATTGATTTTGTATCAATACTCCAAAAAATTATCTAAATAAAGTAGTGATTAAATGCCTTTTTCCTTCTCGAGGTGGGACTTTTAATACATATATAATAAATTCATCCTACTACATGGTGTTAATCCTTGAGACAAGTAAATAAGGTTCTAAGAAAGGAAAAAAATTACAGAATAAGTTTCAAAAGTTGCCATTCTTTACTCTAAAACTTGCTTACAAACTATTTAGGTTGTTATTGAAACCTTATAGTAATTATTTTCTTTTAAAAAAATTTGATTGTAATTTTTCGTTAACGCTTTCTTTTTGGCATGGTAAAAAGACATCCTTTCTTTTTTTTGGACTTCGGCGCAAATTACAATGTGGCCCCATTCCATCAGCTTCTCCATCACGTCTTTCACTTTGTTTGGATCCGGGATTTTGGAGCAAGTTGTGATTAATTACCCAGTCACTACTCTGCCCCGTATCTCACGTGTAATCCATGTCTTCTTTTTCCACGCCCCCTTTTCTATTTCACATTTCTTGCAAAATAAAAAAGGATATGAGCAGGTTTTATATTTAAAAAAAATCACTTTTTGCCCTGATAATTTAATTTTGGAGAAAACGTATATAAGATCAATGAGATAGGTACTATATATTTATAAATTTAACTCAATATGTACAAAAATTAGCACCTATTTAATTATAAAATATGCAATTATCATGCATAGAAAACGGAAGTAAATGAGAAAATATTCGATAGAAAATGTCTTGTATTTTTTTCATTTAGGAGAGAGACCAACAAAGAATTAGTGACAAATGTTCTCCCCCCCCTCCAAAAAAAAAAACACAACCTGAACGTTCATCGACACCTGAATGTTGACGGCCTAGCCCAAACCCAAGTTCACAGTGTAATATATGCCGCAAATAAAGTCCATCACGTAAAAAAATCCATCAATTAATTAACTAATTAATATATCCAAATCTTCACCTTTGATTTTATTAAATGGCTAAGAGGCAATAATTTTTTATAGGAGTATTGAATTTTAGAAAAACTAAATCGTGTAAGTAATTTATAAATATTTTAATCATGCTACATCTCAACAGAGTGGATAACTGGCTCTAAAGATTAAGTAAATAAATCTGTACATATCTTAATTAACGTAAATCTCAACATTGATCTAACCAACCATAGATGGTTATAGATATTAAAATTACTATTATCGGCCATGAATAGAGAAATAACATACCAGAGAAGCAGGAGAATGAAACAATCACAAGAAATTTTGTCTTATTCATTAGTTTAAACAAATATTCGACAGTCATGGCAACAAACAAACAACCATTCGACAAAAGCTATTCAAAAGTCGCATATATCTCAGAGAAATATAACACACCACAAGGCTTCCACACTACAAACTCCTTTATTTAGCAGAAAACCACAAATTAACAGATTAAAAGTTTGCATTAAGTACTGTTCTTCAATCATTGATACTACGCTGTCTTAAACCCTTCTGCTTGATCGACCAATTGGAATCATCTTCTTCCATCGCTTGGGGAACATCTTGGACAACATGCTCCAAATATTCTTGTAAAGTGGGAACTCAATCAAGGCAAATATGGTGATAGGAAAGAGCGCAGCACTGTACACCAGAGTCGAAGTCCATTGCTTCCATGGCAACCTTATTGTGATCAAAATGGTAGCACTAAAAGCAAGCATCGTGCAGGTCAACGACAGGAACAGAAAAGCAAATCCTGTGGTCAGTTTCCGCGGCAGGGACCTGTGGAAATCCCACAGCTCAAATGGCGCGTTGAGGATGGAAAGAAACATCACCACCGAAGCCAAGGAGAAGGCAAGCGCCACGATGTCCATGATGGTGAAGAATATGAACACCGGAGATCTGAACAGCAGCGCGTGGCCACGCTCGGTCTCGTTCCCGCCCGGTATGGTGTAGGCCGCCGCGAAGACCACCGTGGCCACAAGGACTGCCACCGTGGAGCAAGACTGGGCGGTTTCCTTTATCCATCGTTGGGCGTCTGCGAGCATCTGATCGTGCTCTATGTCCAGAAGGTCTCCTGCTGTTAGTAGATCTTTGTCACAATGCAAGTGAAGGTGAGATGGAACAATTTCTTCCACTCGCTGCACGTAACACACAAAAACGAATATGATTTCGTCTGACAGTTCTAATAATACTATTGAATATTTTCATATACATATTTCCCAAGCTGGGCTCAATAATGACCTATATATATACTTACTTTATACCATTTCAACTCTTCTTGAAGTTGGAATGCTGCACCAGCTCTGGCTGGTGCTCTGTAATAATCCATCCTCGCAACCTGGTGTAATGCTGTGCGACTCTCTCCATTAACTCGAGGAGCCAAGAAAGGCAGTACTTGATGATCCTCTAGCAAGTCCAAGATTTTCTCTTGACGGTGCATCACGGCTACATGCAGTATGTTTTGGCCATCTTCACCGACGTGATTTATAGACTCTGGATGCTCTTCAAAGTAGAAGTTAATGATTTCTGTAATCCCATTGGTGGCTGCCACACGCAATGGTGGCTCTTTTCCATGACGTTCCGCTGTTTCCTGCTCATCTTCTTCATTTTTTCCCCTCAGTACTTTTTGCTTACGCTTCCAGTCCAGTTCTTGTTTCCTTTTCGCCACATTGTGAAGAACTGGGGGAAGTTTTTTTGATGCGCTATCGTTGCGTTCCTCATAGCGGTAGTACTGCCACGAGTAGTCGCATTTCACAAGAAACTTGGCCAGCCTCTCTGCTAACCGATGTTTCTTCTTTTCTTCCCGGATCGGCTCAATAATCCGCTTGAATACTGCTTGCTCATCGTCAAGCATGCATAATTAATAATTCATGCATGTTAGTATATATCCGAATATTCAAACTACTACTAATTTGATTGATTCAGTATTGAGTGTTTGATTTCAGCTGCTAAAAAAAAAAAGTATTGAGTGTTTGATTATACATATGTGCATATATACACACACACACATATATATTCAATGATGTCACCTTCAGGTAGAGATTTCCAAAAAGCGCGATTGATCTTTGAAAGACGACCTGCAAGTTATCATCAGTTAAATATTATTATAATTCTCGGACAATGATATGATTGATGATTAAAAAGAATTACTACACACTAAAACATTAATTTTAGCTTATAGCAGTAGGCAAAAATCATTGCTATAGGATAAAATATTATTACCTGTATACCTAACTGTTATGTTTTCAGACCATAAGGTCATGGATGATAAAACCATGGCTGGCCTATAGTCAGATGATAGAGAGTCTAATTTGTCAACAGTTTTCTTAATTACTATCGTCAAGTTATGCCAACAGTTTTAACTGTTACGGTGTTACCTATATGAAACTTCCATAGCAACAGTTTTTAATTAGTGATAACTAGGTCTTTTTTTTTTCACAACAGTTTTTCTAATGTTTTTGTTTTCTCAACAACAAGTACCTGGAGTGGTTGGTGGCCTGGGATCATCTTGATGTTCGCCGGTTTCCAAATCTCTGGCCGGAGTCCTAAGCAACCGATCAAAGCTGTTACACCCTTCGATGTCGTATCCTTCATCAGGAAGCACTATCGTCCAAATGACAAGTTAGTTGCATTGTCAAAGAGTGTTGTAAATGTGAGAACTGATCTATGCAGTTATGTAGTAAATTAAAAAGGAACTAAATATAAAGAGTATGTACATTTATAGACGATTTTGGTCATGAATAGTTGGGGCTCATAATGACTATAAAAAACACTAGGCATTCTGGCCAGAAGCTGAAGACTTGTCAGACCATTTTTATTCTTCTTCACAGCCAGACTACTCTTATCCATGTTCATGATTATCCAAAGAGCTACATCTGCACACACATATTGAATATAATTAATTAAACATCCTTCTTCTCCGAATTAGGGCAAGCATGTTTCAGAAAAGTGTCTTCTACTTAGCTACCTGGTTTTATTTCTTGCAATTTGCCTCTAAAAACTGGTTTCTATTTTCTATACTTACCAAAGTATTGCCCGTTCACACTAGCATGAAGAATGGTCTCTGTAGCGCTTTCTTGATGGATTTTCATGTTAGCCTGAGGCAGATTTTCTGCACGCTTGACCAAATGGGTCAGCATCTTGAGGTTACCGAACTTAGCAGCCTTGAACACCGGCGTTTCACCTTTTAAGTTTTTCCACTCCAACAATGGCCTTCTCTTCTCCTCCTCTTGCTCCTTCTTCTCCTCTGATGATAGCTCTGCCATCTCCGCCTTCTCCTTCTCTGCCAGCTCCGGCGGCAAAGGAATGGTCTTCTCGAAGTCGAGTACGATGTCCGCCATCTCAGCCACATTGCAAGCCTCTGCGATTTCATGAAGAAGCGTGTTGCCTGCACGGTTCTTCTTCCTGATGACACACCACCTTTCTTCTTCAGATAGCTTTCCCAGCAACTCCTTCAAGATTTTTGGATCATCAGAGCGAACTGCCTTGGTAAAGGCAGTGTTTCCCCACAAGTCAAAATCCTGAAGCAAATACCTCTTATTACTGTCAGCGAAGATTTTCTTGAACTTTTCCCATTCTGTGGAATTATAAGCTCTTTGAGCTTCTTTCATTGTTTCGCTGAACATATCTCCCTCTATCATAATCTCGCTATTCTTTTTTCCCATTTTTCCTCTCGTCCTGCTGCATACACTTGTGATCAACGTGTTGATCTATTTATAGTATTTATATACGCAATGTGTGAGGGAATCTCACAAAGTTTTCTTATTAGGCGATACCTTTGTAGCATATTTTTTTCAGATGAAATTGAAGATTATTATAGTGTTATTTGTGTATTGTGCAGTTATAATTTTCAATAAGTTAGACCCAACATTATATATTTAAAATTGGGTTATATCATTTTCACTATTCCTGCAATTTATAACAATAACTGTTATTCATAGTATCGTGTAACTTAATTTTTGTTATATTAATCATAGCTCAGCAATAATATCTAACTTTTAAGTTTAGTTTGTTTCGATTTTAAATTTTATATGATAATTATATGTGTTAATATATAAATAACAGTAACGCTGACGATCTTTTATGGGTCTGTTTGGAATAGCGATCAGAAAAGCAGCTTATTGTGAGTTTGACTTATGGAAAAGTGAAGTTGGGTAAAAGTTGAATTGGATAAGCTGAATTGTGTTTGTATTAGAGTTTAGAAAAGTTAGTTTGCAAAAGTGAGATTGACAAAAGGTTGTTTGGATTATGGTTAGGTAAAAGTAAGTTTAGTTGTAAGATGACCAAAATGGGTATGAGTTTTAATAAATAATAAAACATGATTAAAAAAATAATTTTACATAATGCAATAAATTTAAATTAATTTATAATATGACTAGGAGGGAGTAATACATATGTTCACATATGTGTGTGTATATTACATTTACATATGGTAAAATATTAAAAAAACCGTTAATAAAAAAAGTTATTTATCATATGATAACTTTGTAGAAAATTGTGTTATATTAAAAAAATTTGAAAATGCACAAAATCAACGTATGAGGGAGAAGAACCAGAAGGCAGATTTGGCATTAAATTTGCAATAAATGTTTCCAGGACCTTTTACTAAAGCAAACGCATGATTCCATAAGTTATAAGCTTCTCTTCCCAGCTTATGCTTTTCACCGGCTTTTGACTTATAAGCTAAATAAACTAAAAGCTTATCCAAACAGGGACAAATTACAGATCGAGCTTATGACACCAATAAGCTCCTTTTAAGCTCCACAAACGCCCTGCCAAACAGGTACATATATATTTTTGAGCTTCAGAAATTAATTTCTTATCTTTAGTGATATATATATATGTATAATTATTGAAAATGACCTCCAGCCATAAGTGCTTTACTCATCATTCTTTTTGTTTCCGCAGGAGATCAAAGTAACAGTACTATTCTTTGCTTGCAAAAACGATAAGTAAAAAAATAAGATACCTTCTCTTTTTCAATTTACCTATGTGTGTCGGCTGCCGGCAAAGGTTGGGGGGGTGTCCAATCTATTAAAAGCTTTTTCCATGATTTGGTACTCTTAATTAATTCGCAACTTCGTAACTACGGAAATTAATGAGCGATATTTTTCTATTTATGGGGGGGAAATTTAAATTTTAACTTGTCAAATATAACATGACTTACTCACATCCTTATTTTTGTGACTTTGTCACTTTGCGACTACTAATTACACGTCTGTTTATTTATGGAGAAAGAGGAACATTTTTCAACACCATATTTTGGCCAAATCACTAAAGTACCTTCTATCCTTCAGTCCTTCTTTCTTCTACTTTCCAAATTTTTTTATCATTAAATATCATTCCCCCATGCATGTCCTAGACTTCTAGTCATCATCACCTTGTATGCGTCGAATTCCTTTTTTTCAGATTTAATGAAGTGTGCGATCCGATTTCAAAATTAGCCCATCCTTAGTATGCCGAAAGTTAATTAACTTTTGAACTAAAAAGTAAACATGGTTACAATAAAAAAAAGAATGAAAAGAAGAATCTTAACCTTAACATGTGTGTGTATATCTTTATTTTTTGGGTAAAGTATCTTCAAGCCACTGTAAAGTCGGACTACAAGCATCAAAATTAAAACCCTTCCTACAGGTGTGCTTTCCGAAATTCAATTTTTTTTTTATGAGAATAAAACCGCTAACTATCTCAACCAACAGCTTGCTAATCACTTGTGTGTATATTTATTAGAGTAACTACGTGTCAAGTCAATTAATTTAACATATCACTTGATTCTTCCATGCTTCTAAGACTGTTAGAACGAGAAGCGAACCATATCTTGTCTCTTAGGGATGATCAAGACAACTAGGTTCAGATCACAATACTCTCAAATCTATGGCCGTCTCCTATATTTCGAAAAACCTTCTTCACGAAGAATATAATGCTCCGAACAAACCTAATTTGAAAGTTCTAATAATGTTATTATTACTTGGGAGATCATACGCACTATATTAGAGAACTTGAACGAGAAGAAAAGGTTTCGTGAGTTCCTAAAGCCTTTGACAGGTTCTTTTGGAATTGAACAATCTTACAGAAAGTAGTGTATTGTCCTCTATCGTTCCTTTTTCCCCTAACTCTAGTATTCTAAAAGCATGCACACCTAAATGCATATTCTTTGCTTACAAAACATAAAGTAAAAGGAAAATGCAAAAGAAAATACTGAAGTAGCCACAAGCAATGTATGAATAGACACAACAATAATATCTGGGTGGTCCATTCATTCCAGGATCATTTGAAGCTTAAATTTCCTCTTCTTCTTTTTTTTAATTTTTTCTTTGCTTAGTGATGTTCTTTTTTTTTTTCAAAAATTATTATAAGTTCTTTGCTTAATTAATAATTCATTCTTTTAAGAATCTTACAAATTTCTTCACACTTTTTCCATACTGCCTCCAACACTGCAAGTATATGGGTGGAGTAATAGTAAAGCAGTGATATAGATCATCCCATAACAATTTGATACCAGGAATCAATTAAGCATCAGCATCATTCATTCATCACTTAATTCAAGCTAAACAAACAAGTAATTGCATAAATAAAATGAATCATTAAATCAATTAAATGGAACATATAGGAAACAGGCCCTAAACAATAAAGGAAAAGCTTAGATTTATTCATCTCTCCTATTTGCTTCAGTGAAATCTGCTCCTACGATTAGATGATTGGCTCCCAAAACTCTTTATAGTTAGCCTGGAACTCTCTGGTGTCTTTACAAGTGTTTTTGAAACCATTTATAAGCATATATTGACTAATTCTAAGTGTGCATTCTAATTAACTTACAATGAGCTTCAAGTGACCTTTAAAGTTCTACTCTGTTTTGACTGTAATATGTGCAAACTAAATTATAAATTCAATCCCTATACAAATAGAACCAGTTTTGATGCCTAATAATGAATACTATGACACTTATTGTTACAATAAAATATACACAATTCAGATATGTTTTTAATAGTCTAAATTTAAAATTTTCAACTAATAATTTTTAAATAAAAAATGAGTTTTTACAAAAAAAATTACAGTTAAAATATTACATTTGTCTTGAATTATTTACACATTAAAGGAAAACATTTTTTACAGATAAAGATATAAAAAATTAAATCTTTGTCATCCGTATTAAATTTGAATGATTGAGATTTAATAAGTATTATGATACTTACCATTGCGAGGAACACCGAAATTCATTCCCATGCAAACTTCAATTAGTGGTTTGTTTTAGATCCTTTTCTTTCTATGTGATAAGTTGGCCAGACAAATAGAATGCCAAAATAAAACATGACTTAATAAAGGAAAGAGTCCATTGCAGGGTCCAAGACGGAAAATTTGGTAACGTTGTGGCGCCGCATAAAATTAAAGTTTGTTTTGAATGTTAGGAAATTATTTTTGGACTAGCTGGGAAATTTTATTGAGATTGGAAGGGGTTTGAAGAAGGACAAGAAGAGGAATATATAAATAAAAAAATGTGTGATAAAATAAAAATCACATTCTGGGATGCATCATAAGCAGACCAGATAACTCAAAAAATGGAAGAGGGACAAGGGCTCTGTTAGGGTTTCACATTCTAGATTTTTTTTTAAGACTAAAATCTTACATTTTGAAGTTTACTAAACATCAAGATAGGTTTGAACAATCTTTTCTATCTAAGCTGGTTTCAGCTTAGAAATGCCTCTTAGAACAAAAATGTATTGTTGGCTTGGGTCTTATTATGAGTTCTTTTTTTCCCTTTTGAGAATTTATATGTGGATCTTGGAGATATTTTGGAAATTGAAATCTAGAGTGTGTTAGGATTGAGAGGTTTTAATTTATAATATGAACCTTATATGATCGGTACTTTTTCTTTGGCAGAAAATCATGTGATAAGTACGTTGCGTGTAAAGTTTTCATGTAAAATGCAGTTAATCTTGCCAAAGCTTCTTTCTCTCGTTTGGGATTTTAACTTATCGTGCAATTTTTTTTTTGGATATACATATTTTTGCTAGGCACATGTATTTTCTTGTTGAAGGCAATTCTGTTTGAGGTACTGTAAGAAATTAAATGTGGGTACTCTCTTAATAAGGATTCGAATCTTAGTTTACTATATAGTGAGAGGCTAACTTTTTTTTGCTAAACGCAACCCTAGTTGCTTTTTTTGTTGGGTATATATTATTATGTGATTTTTATGCAGATATTTGGGAGTTATCATGAAGTTTATGGAGACGCATCTGGGCTTCTTTGGGCCTACCCAGTCAGTTGGATTAGAGATTTGACAATTGGGCCAATGCTTGAATTCTGCTTGTGCAACCGTTTTTATTTTTTTATTTTGAAATGGGTTGTGCAACTTTAATTACGAGCTCGGCGTTGCTTGGGGTTGTTGAGGGGTCTGGTGACTCTTTGAACACCGTGGGGATTACCTTTCGGCTTGGGATTGTTTGTTTTAAATATATGAACTAAATAATTAATTTGTAAAAATTGTTAAACTAATTATTCATAAAAAAAATATGCGTTGGTTTATTTAAAACCACATTTTTTGATATAATTATTTAATATTATATATTGTTAATTGCCTGGCACAAAAAGTCAGTTGTCAAATGATATATAAATATAGTTAGGTCAGCGAGAACGTATTTTTATTAATAATAAATAATCCTTTTGG